GCATAGAACGGTCAAATCATTGAGAGGAAAATTTTATTGCTTCGTTTGATTGCATTCATAGACCACATAATCCTTGCATTCCCACATTATCATGTTATATTTTAGAAAAAAAAATCTCTAAATTAATGGTTTTTCTGTTTATTTTTACTCTTATTTTTTCTTTGTATATTTGTATCTATGTTTCCAAGGAAATATAAAACACTTTGAAATATTTAATAAGATGATTTATTTGGACTGTAAACATTTTATGTTTATAAAAATAGTTAATTATACATATATTAAAATATTGCCTGGAAGAGATCGCTTTTAGAGATAAGGTCACCCATTGTTTGTTGTTTTTTCACTGTGATTATTTCTTGTAAAGCATATTTATATATATATATATATATATATATATATATATATATATATATATATATATATATATATATATATATATATATATATATATATATATATATATATATATATATATATTGTTAACATTTATACACTTACCATGTTCCTTGTAAATATATCAAAAAAATAAATAAATAAAAATAAAGCTTAAGCCACGATCGTCCGTAACTTGTATTTTACACTTAAAATTAAGTGCAAAGGTCACGAGTTGTAACAATTAGAAAGGTAATTCACCGTGTTGCTTGATAATTCGTGTTCACAGTAAAAAGGGATGATGACAGTCTACTTTGAGGTGGGAATAAATTTGCATAGTAAAGCTGTAATGCAATTAGGCTGACGGAGAAAGTTTATCCGGTTACACAGGTCGCAAATATAATGGAGTTCATAGCAATTTGATATGTATATACCGGAGAGAGACTTTGTACAAAAGTCGTTTGCTTGTGCACCTCTGTCCCATTCGTGTTTCTACCGTGAAGTAGTTGTGTTTGCATGGCTGTGTTTCGGTTTGAAGGGTGATATGGCAGTGAATTTACAGGGTACAGATGAATAACACCTGAGTTCTCAGGAATGGCAACGCACGAGGGATATCATGGGCGAAACAGTATACTCTGTTATGTCCATAGTACTGCTCATGTCTATAGGCGACGGTTACCACTTTCCTTGAGGTGGGCCGTCAGCTTGTTTGCCGTTCTAAGTTGCATAACAAAAAAAGACACACAAAATAGTCAGTATAAAATAATTACTGAAAAACTTGATTTACTTATTACGATTTTTCTAAATGTGTTAAATGTCAGTTGGACTCTTTTTCCACAATAAGCTTCTCATTTGGGCCGTTGTACGTATGTGATCCTAATTGTGTTAAAAACACTTATCTATGCAGACAGAAACTTAATTCTATATCCACAAGTAAAATATTTCATTAAAAAATTATAAAAGACTATAATTTTTTAAACAAACTTTAACCATAATCAAGTTTAAATCCGTAATTAAGGGATACAATATCAATTGCCGTTTAAATTTCAGTTTACTTAATCAATTTTAATCTATAGATTAAACTTCCTTCGTAAATATTAAAAACTTCGAACGTTCAGTCGATCTGAGATTAGCTTTTCATGTGAAACAGCACTATGCAGATCATTCATTAATCAGCATCAATCATTCATAAAATACAAACATCTTGACAGGTCGACTGTTATGTTTATGTTTAAATTTCGAATTTCTTACATAAATTATGCGTACATTAGGGATATCTTTTAAAACTTATAACAAAGTTATTGAATTCTATTTTGATTAAGTTTTTAATGATTAAGAGCAAACGTTAAAATAATTAGGGGGCACGGCAGTGCTCCCGCCAAGTTGAGCGCAGCCGTACCATAACATACATGCAATTGTACGGTACTATGACTATAAATGAATATTACTTATGGTAATTTATTAGTGGAATATATTGTTATGCAATGGCCAAGCTATTATAATTATTATAGAGATAAAGATGTCTAATATTTTTTAATGAATGATAATGGAATGGTAACCCCGTCTGCCCTATCGGTATACGCTGGCGGGGCACCAGTGAGGGATGATAGGTGAGGGTGAAAGCAGGTCAGTTAGCCCGTCGTGACAAATTCCACTAGAATTAACCACTATGGTTTCCAAGGGGAACTATGTGGAAGTCGACCTGATTTATGCTGGCAATGGGTCAGTTAGACCCCATTACTAACAGTCCCTTTCCCCTCGATATCTAATATTGTCACTATAAATGTTGATAGGTAATTGTTGAGACAACAATTTATAACAAAGTTATTTGAATCGGTGTTTCCATAGACACTAACTAAAATAACTGACTTAGTTTCATATGAGATCTCACAAAGTTTTATAGTGAAAGAATCGTATTGCGAGACTTGGCATTTTATTACGTTTTATGCTTTTGATGGGATTTACACTTTTCATTACAAATGAAGTACAAAGATGCGAAGTACTATATAAAGAAGAATATTTCTGGAATGGTGTCATAAATAAATAAACACAAATAGATAGATAGGGTTATCTAATTGCAAACTAAGCAAATCTTGTAATTTGGGCTTTTTTGTAAGCACTTACTACACTAATATATAGAAAATATGTAGACAAATACAAATATACTTACAAATACAATACAATATCATGACGAGAGAAGGAGATACGATGGGATACCTGACCACGCAGATGAAAAAGTTAGTAAATAAATATGAATATAAAATTCATCAAAAATTTTGTTAACAAATTAAAAAAAAAAAACAGCAGTATAAGATAAGTCGGCAGCTCCTTTGCATTCCTATAATAAAAAAGTTTTGTAGCAAGTTTCAATTGAAATCAAATTTAATTTGATACTTTAGTAATAATTTGTAACCTATCAATAATTGATTAATTGTTCCAGAAACATCTAGAATCATTCATTACTTTACAAAGTACAATTAACTTTGGTTCGAGCTAAATTTTAAGAAATTTCTCGATCGATCATAAAATTACTAAATAGGACAAAGGAAAAGTAATTTAGCTACCTGTAATTAAAATTAATATTCAAAGGAAAAAAGTAAGAAACAGTTTTTATTATTTTCTTTTGATTATTAATTTGAATACATTTTAAATATTTAGGCTGTTTTTAGTTAAATTGACATGAATGTAGGTAGTTTACTGGAGATTTGTTGTAGTGTAATGCACATTAAGGGCGCGGACTTGGCAATGCATATCGGCAACTTTTTTGTTAACTTTTCTTACATGGTCAGTAGTCGTCTCCATATAATAGATTATTTTTTTATAATACAGAGGGCAAATCAGCATGCGACTCACCTGATGGTAAGTGACTACCGCTGCCCATGATTATCCGCAACACCAGAGGCATTGCATATATGCTACCGGCCTTTTAAAAAGGAATATGCTCTTTTCTTGAAGGATATTATGTCGCATCAGTTCGGAAATGTTGCCGCTGGAAGTTGATTCCAAAGAGTGGTTGTGTGTGGAAGAAAGTGCCTTGATGATGAAGTGCACGGTGGAGGAACGCCACTCTTCCAGATAGTTGGGATGAAACTTAGTTTGTGGCGGGTTGTACGGTGGTGAAAATCCGAACAATTTCTCAGAGCACTCTCCATGACAAATTCGGTAAAAGTTACAGGATTTATTAACGTGTCGTTATTATAGGAACACGTGTTTGAAGGTCTGAAGGTCTTGAAGCTTTAGTTAGAAATTTAATATTTTCGTGAACTATAAGGCTTTATTTATAGCTCTTCCCTAATATTAATTGTAGCCTGATACTTACAGCCGTATTTGATGAAATGTAATGGAAATATTTTTATCATAAATACTTTTAGATGGTTAAATAATGACTACCGTGAGTCATACTGTGTACAGTACTGTCTGTACTGACAATGAGGTAAACAAACTTATGGCCCACCTGATGAAAAGTTTTCTTTAATGGATTATAATGAAATGGTAACCTCGCCTGCGCTGACAGTATACACTGGCGGGGTACCAGTAACGGATGATAGGTGAGAATCAAAAGGCAGGTCAGTTAGCTCATCGTGATGAATGCACCTGGATTTCAACACGATGGTTTCCAGGGGGGCCTCGTGGAGGTAATCCGCATTACTAACAATTCCTTTCCCCCCTGATGGAAAGTTGTAAAATTCGGCTATAGGTATGAACAGCACCAGTACCATTATGAATGCTCTATAACTCCCACAGTAATCTTCATGTTACTGCCATCCCTGAGGACTATGGTGTTATGTCTCCGCACTATAATTTCACTGTATCTCTTTAAATCAAAACACAGTTATATTAGCGTATCTGCTTCATGGCAGAAACACAAGAGGCACTAATGTATCCAAGCAAATAAATCTTGAACAAAGTTTTCCCCTCCGGTATAATATTTTAAACCGTTGCTTTTTTTTGACACTACCACCTGAGAGGAGAGAGACAGGGATTGTTAGTAATAAGATCTAACAGGTTCATTACTAGCAATATACTCTAACAGGTCGACCTCCATGCGGTTTCCCCTGGAAACTATCGTGGTTAGTTTTTGATGAATTCACCACGATGGGCAAACTGACCTGCTTTATCCTCACTTATCATCCTTCACTGGCGCCCCGGCAACGTATACGGATAGGGCAGGCGGAGGTATCATCGTCATCCATTAAAAAAAACCATCTGAATGGATATCAATAGATGAGGACGAAAGAGGGTCACTTGGCTCATCGTGACGAATTCAACAAGGATGGACAATGATGGTTTCTATACGAAACCGCATTATAGGGTGTATTGCTAACAATGGGGCCCTTGGTGTCCATTATTAACAATACTTTTCCTCCCAGCTGCTGAGCTTTTTTTTATACGACTTAGAATGGCAAACAAGTTGTCGCCTATAGACATGAGCAGTGCTATGGACATAACAGAGTATACTGTTTCGCCAATGATATCCCCCATGCGTTGCCATTCCTGAGGACTCAGGAGTTATTCCTCTGTACCCAGTAAATTGACGCCATATCCCACCCTTCAAACCGAAACAGCCATGCAAACACAACTGCAAATACGTATAATATCTATTCATTTTATTTATTTGTTTGTTACAGATTATGAAGCCCCGCGTGGGGCAGAGCCTCGTTCAGGCGCTATGTGGAGTGCAGGGGTTTTCTTTTTCACCCAGATAGTCGTGTGCCAATTTACTACTGGTAAGTCTCAAATTTTTAGTCATATATATGTATATAAATTCATCATGTGAGAACATGAACATGTATATAAATTCATGTGTGTGTGTGTGTGTGTGTAAGAGGCGACTAGAGGAAACTAATGGTCGAGGAATGGATAACTGTTTTTTTTTATACCACTGAGGTGGCAAACAAGTATACGGCCCACCTGATAGTAAGTGGTTACCGTAGCCTATGAACACCTGCAATACCAGAGGTATTACGCGTGCGTTGCCGATTTCTCTACCGATTTCTTTTAAAACATCATCAAAGTTTAACTACGGTTGCCTACCCACCTGCTAAGCGTGACAACTACTAGCAAACCCCACCTTATGAGGAAGGCCTATGTTCAGCAGTGGACAGTTACAGCTGATGTGATGATGATGATGATGAAGTCTAAAATTATGTATTAGATAACTTAAGATTATTTTCCACAAAAACACATCAATTTAAATCGTGACAAAATCAGTTATTTTGATTCAAAAATTAAACCAAAAACCAATTTTGATATAATTTATATAAGTCTCCTTTCAGATAAAAAAGACAAAAAAGAACTTTTTATTCGATTTTTAAATTATGGAATTTTAAAGTAACATACATAAAAAAATACAACCGAATTGACACCCTTTTCCTTTTTGTCATATTGGTCTCACAACAATTTTATGCCACAATTGATGTCGGTTTTATTTTGTAAAATGAAATCTTATATATTTATTTAATATATACAAGTAATTACTTTTATCACTAAATGTAACCTTTATTACTTTCACTGATAAAGGGAAAATACGAAACATTCTCGTTTCCGTATTTGTTAAAACTGTTTATCGTAACATAAAATGTTACTATGGTTTCACGAGCTAATTATAACGTTACGCTACCCACTATTGTTATAATTACATCACTTGATTCTGTTCTAATATCAAGTTACTCAATAACTGGGTTAATAGATGCTTATTCATATCTACTGAGTATTTGTTATTCATCTAATGTTACTAATATAATCAAATTTTAACGAGACGATATATATACATAAGAGATATTTAATAAAACAATTTAATAGGACCAATAGGTGCCAAAATAATACGAGTATTATTTAGAAATTTTGTATGTATGTCTGTTTGTTACACAAAAACTACTAAATTGGATGAATTTTTTTAGTTATATTTCAAAGGTCTAATTTAAAAGCTATATTATCATCATCATTATTGTCATAACAACCGTATACTGTCTACTGTTGAACTCAAGTTTCTCCAATTGTAACTGCAAGTAGGCTTTGATGATGTTTTAAAAGGGACGCTACTGCCTATCTCTCCACCACTAAGTTCCCTTAGTCGCCTCTTACGACACCCACGAGATAGGATATGGTGGCCTATTTTATACCGGGACACATAGAGCGAACTAGAATATGTTAGGATTAAATTATGTAACACGAAATACACCAATTAATACTACAACATCAAGATTACAAGGTTAACGAACCCATTTACATGGCGTACGAGATATTGTACCTGGTACGTAATATTAATTCTGAATAATAATTGTATATACTCTTTTATCTGTGTTTTACGTATCATTATTTATATCTCCATCTGTACTGTTAGATTGAAGACAAGTTTCAAGCAGCACAATAGGTCTGTAAGTCTAAGAACAAAAAGTGTTTTTTTTATACAACTTAGAATGGTAAACAAGCTGGCGGCCCACCTGATGGAAAGTGATAACCATCGCCTATAAACATGAGCAGTACCATGGACATAACGGCGTATACTGTTTCGCTCATGATACCATCATGATGACATCATCGTCATACCAGCCTTTAACTAACTTCAACTGTTGAACATAAGTCCCCCCTTGGGAGTTTGCCAGTAGTTGGCACGCTTGGCAGGCCTATTGGCAACCGCAGTTAGGCTTTCGGTGGTGTTTTAAGAGAGACGCTGCTGCCCATCTCTCGCGGTCCTTTAGTCACTTCTTACAACACTCAAGGGAAATAAAGTGGTAGCCTGTTCTACGCCAGGACCATTTGGCCATAAACATGTTAACATAAACTTGTAAAATCAAGCGACAGAGATGCATTTGAATGGGAAGTAGAATCATAAGAAATTTCTATTCAAAAATACCTATAATTAAATTTATTTAATTAAAAAAAAAACATTAATACTCTTATCTCTTAGTGTTATATGTCCATTGAAAAGTCCTAAAAATATCAGACAATATTTTACTTAGTATATTAATAGTATTAATTTTTTTTTTCAGAAAACCCTTCTTCATCTACCACGGAGAAAGACCAAACCGTCACATCATTCTACGCGCTCAGCACTGACATAGCGCCAGCGCCTGTCATGTTAAAACTGGGAAACTCAACTATTGATAGCACAAAATCATTCAAAGTACCCCAAGCGTCACAGAAGCCAACTGACGTAACCCAACCAGATGTTATACCCAAAGTCGAGATGGTACCACACGTGGTGTCTGTGAAGAATACATATTTCGACCATGACAGAAAATATGGACCAAATTTTGAAGACACGCCAGAGGGAAATATTACTAAGACTACGATACAATTAGGCGAGGATGCCTATTTGAATTGCAGAATAAGTCTCCTTTTGGATAAAACTGTGAGTTTTACCTTTTATTTGGCTTTCTATATATTATTTAAATCATTATTGTCGGAATATTTAAGATATAATTAATCAATGCTCCTTTCTACTCAGGGTTTGCTGGAAAAGAACTCTTACAGAGTTAAGCTCGCCTGTTGTACATCTTTATTTTATATATATTTATGTTTGTAATTTTTTGTGTACAATACATAATAAAAAAAATACAATTTAATTATCTAAAACTACGTTATCTACAAATACCAGAGGGAAACAAAAGTCGTCTAATTAATAGGCTTTCCCCTTCGTTTTTCTGTCGTGAAACAGCTGCGTTTGTATTTCAATTTGAAGAGTGAGTATATGGCAGTGAAATTACATAAATTTAACCACCTACTAACCAGAGGGAGACTTTGTGCAAAAGTCGTTACTTGGGTACCTCTACTCCATTCGTGTTTCACTGTGAAGCAGTTGTGTTTGCATGGCTGTGTTTCGGTTTGAAAGGTAGGGTATGGCAGTGAAATTACAGAAAACAGAGACATAACACCTTAGTCCTCAGGAATGGTGACGCATGGGAGAGTATCATGGGCGAAAGGGTATACCATGGTACTGCTTATGTCTATAGGCGACGGTTACCACTTTCCATAAGGTCGCTCGTCAACTTTTTTGCTATTCTAAGTATCATAAAACTCACGAAATATTACAGAGCACGAAGAACAGTAAATACTAGTTTTATAATAATATCTGACTTTTCTACTGAATTGCAACCAGATCTAGAACAAATACAAACAATTTATATTAAATACAAGCACAATAATATGCTTTGAAGCAATACTGAAATTACATTGGAATACTTCCAACCGCTACTACTAATAGAGCAATCAAGATAACAGTCATTTAAAATTTGTTAATGGCATAAGAGAATTGTTATAAAAGCATCCAGGAATTACATTCCACTCAGACAATTATAGGGATCGGAGTAACCATCGTTGGAAACCCGATTTAAAATGGCTCGGCAACTTTTATGAGATGCAATCAAAGAAATGTAAAATGTTCTAACTGTTATTAGGAAGCGTTATGAAATGTTATTCAGTTTCTTATTTCGTAATGGCATTTTTGGAGTTCTTGGTACAGTGAAGTGAGTGGTTTTTCTTTAACCAACCCTGGTTTTTCTTTAGCCCTAACCTGAAGGAAAATGGCAACCGTCGCCTATAGACATGAACAGTTCCAGAGACATAACAGAGATTACTGTATCGCCTATGATACCATTCATGCGTTACCGTTTTTGAGGACTAAGGCGCAATGCCTCTATATCCCGTAATTTCATTTGAAAAGTATTATGTACTAGAAAAATTATAGGTATCAGCTTTTACGTATATTACCAGGAGTTTTTAAAAGGACTGTGTGTAGAACGAATGTCTTAATATATTGAGTACGTAACATGCCTTGACGAGTTCCAATAATTCGATCATTAGATTCTACAGGTTTCACGAAGATAGTTATAAATATATAATATATAAGATAGTTAAAAATATTGCTGTTAAAAAAAATTTTATGAAAATAATTTGATATTAAAAATTTTAAGTTAGTAGTTTTTGGGATACTTTTCATGTTATTTTTGATGTACAAACGTTCGTTTTAAGGTTCTAAATAAAATACTAAAAGTTCCACGAAAAATGTTAAAAAAGTTAAAAATTATTTTAGACGAATTGCAGAAATTTTATTTCTGGTCTCTTTTATAAAAAAACTTGAGCTATCACAGGAAAGGTAATTAAAAATGTGAGTGAAATACTAATTTAAAAAAGGAAAAAACTAATTCTTTTCCTTACTTTATTTTATAACACAAAATTTTAATTTAGCAAATTCGCAGCAACTTTTTTTTAAACTAAAAGTGGAAAGTCATCGTCGTCATCGTCTCAGCCATTATCTGTCCACTGTTGAATGTAGGCCTTCCAAATAGACTGACATAAGTGGAAAGTGTAATTCAATATTAACTTTAGATAACTATTTAGAAACTAAAGGTTATAATATATATCGTATCGTATCGTATCGTATCGTAAAATATTTATCGTATTAAACACGTAAATGATTTAATATACAATCGGTATCTCTTACAGTCAGCTTTTACTGAAAGAAAACTAGAATGTACGTAATCGTACAATTATTATTTGAAAGAAAATTTATTCCTATTATTTGTGGTATAAATCTAACAATGATTAGCTATTATTATTGGTGTTCTGTAATAGGCACCTTACGCAGTGGAAATTATTATGAATTCTGCATTTATTAAAATTCAAATAATAGATTACTACTTTTAAAGTATATGTTTAAAAAAACAAATTTTTTTTTATCTGTATTATGTGTATGTTTGTATTATTATTTGTGTGCTGTAATAGTATAAATTATCTATTTACCTACCAATTAATCTTTGGGATGAACAGTGAATTACGAATGCGGTACTTCGCTATTAGAATAACTAATGAAAATAACAGATAATAAGTCGTTTCTGAGATTAGCGTGCACAAACGTACAGACAAATAAACGTAAATTCTAAAAATCATTGTTTTGGGCTCTATTGCGTTCATAAAGCCCTCCTATAATAGTTTTTCTTATATATTTTCCATGTACAGACGGCGACCAGTTACGCTATATATATATATATATATATATATATATATATATATATATATATATATATATATATATATATATATATATATATATATATATATATATATATATATATATATATTGATTATCTTTCCTATTTTGTATTGTATTCGTGAAATAACGACGTGACTTTTTTTTACTTTGAAAAATGCTTTTATGCTTACTTGTAGAAAAACAATATTTAATTAAAATGCCATTTATAGACATTCTTTTAATTGTCCCATTTCATCAACAAAGAATACTTTTCAAAGTGATTTTCATTAACTTCATACCAATATTTAATTATCTATTGACTAATACTCAGAAATCATTTTTGGTAAGATTTTTTTTTTTATCTAAATATAGACAAGATGTTCTACTAGCTGACCCCGTTACGTTGTTTTACCACTTATTGCGAAATATAAAAATCGCGATTAAAATACAGGGGTTGATCGTAAAACGATGAAAACTTGATGTTATATGTATTTTTCAGTACTAAATTATAATAAAATAAAAATAAAAAAAATTGTTAAATAAATAAAAAATAATTTTGGGGTGGGCACCTTTATCATTGACGGGTATGAAAAATAGATGTTGGCCGATACTCAGACCTACTTAATATGCACACAGAATTTCATAAAAATCGGTAAAGCCGTTTCGGAGGAGTTTGGTAACAAACACCATGACACGAGAATTTTATATATAAGATCTATATTTGTTTCAATGGGTGATAATGGAATGGTATACGCAAGTAATGTAAGTGCATGTATGAAAGAAACTATGTATAACAATGAGTGTCCATAAAGTCAAGTTTTTTTTTATGGGTGATAATGGAATGGTAACCCCACCCGCGCTATTGGTATACACCGGCGGGGCACCAGTGAAGAGTGATAGGTGAAAATGAAGCAGGTCAGTTAGCCCATCGTGACGAATTCAACAAGAATTGTTCACAATGGTTTCCATAGGGAACCACGTTGAGGTCGATCTATTAAGGCATATTGGCATCAATGGGGCTGTCAGACTCCATCGCCAACAATCCCTTTCTTCCCAATTTATCTTTATACTTATAAATATTTTGTGATGTTCAATACACAAGTAGCGACAAACACATAATGGGCCACCTCTTCTTTTCCTGTGGGTATCGTAAGAGGCAACTAAGGGAACTTAATGGTCCAGGGACGGGCATGAGCCTTCCTCTTAAATCATCAACAAGAGCGTCATCTTTTTTGCGGCCCATGGTTGCCAATCGGTTACGTGGCAAATACTAGCAAAATTCCCCCAATGGTAGACTGCTATAAGGAACCCTCCCGTTCCTTATGACAGTCTATGGGGAAGGCCTATGTTCAGCAATGGACAGATAACAGCTGAAATGATGATGTTAATAATAATATAATATAGTCTAATAAGGCATCTCAGATTAGTCTAGTTTGATGACTAAGAGTTCGAAATTTTTTACGTGTATATATCCTTTATTTCACTAAAACATACAGTAGCATGCTGACGGCCCACCTAATGGAAAGTGGTATCCGTCGCCTATAGACATGAGCTGAACCATGGACATAACACAGTATACTGTTTCGCCCATGATATCCCCCATGCGTTGCCATTCCTGAGGACTTGGGTGTTATTCTCTGTACTCTGTAAATTCACGGTAGAAACACGAATGGGACAAAGGTGCCCAAGCAATCGACTTTTGTACGAAGTCTCCCTTTGGCATTAATAAGTTAATAACAATGTTAGCAAAGGCGAACTTATTTCTAAAAGAGATTTGTTGAATTATGACTATCGTGAGTCATACTACACTGTAACTATTTACTTATTTATTTAGTTTCGAACTAAATAAATAAGTAAATAAACTGTAATATATAAATGGCCTCACCACTATTACCACTGCCTTCGGCCACACACAAGCAGCAACAAACAGCACGCTGGTCGCGTGGTGCTACTCGTGATACAGCCGTGGACCGCGCTCATGAATAAGTGCTCCTATCGAGTTTAAAACTTAGTTTAGCATTTATGAATTTAAAGTATCAATAAAAGCGACAAATTTAAAATTATGATTTATTCACATAATTATGAAATTAAATTTAAATTGGTAAAAAATTAAATTTGCCTTATATCACTTCTTCTTTGTTATTAAAATATGTCGACCCGGGAATCGATTAATTAATGGAGTCATAATGGCTAAAGTCCTCCATATAATATGTACTTCGCGTTGTACAATTTATCCAATTGTCAGTCAATGCAATTTTATGTTAATTGCCTTTTGAAGTGTTTGTATAAATGTTGGTTTATACTTATTGAACGATCTCCTTTCTTTATAATGGCTTAATTGATTTTTTTTCTTTTGTATAATACAGGTAAAAAATAATCGTATGGTCGCCGGGCTATAATATTTTTATTAAAAAAATGTTATAAAATTTGACAAGAAGCAATATCATGTAGCACAAATAAAGGAAATAATCCATAAACACTAAATTTGTAGTTATTTCACAGAAAATAATTTAAACTTAATGATTTTGTGCGGAACCCTGGTTGCGCGACTCCGACTCGCATTTGACCGGCTTTTTTTAAAAAAACCTCTTTTCAGGTATCTTGGGTCCGTCGCAGAGGTAGAGATGAGATGCCAGAGCTACTCACGGTGGGTGGCATTACTTATGCTGCTGACAACAGGGTGACAGTTGCAAAGCGGTATCCTGGAAACTGGAGGCTCCTCATCAGGGAGGTCAAACCTGACGATGAGGGAGTATACGAGTGCCAGATATCAACACACCCGCCAAGAGTCAGCAGAACTTATTTGCACGTTAACAGTAAGTATTGTAATATATTTTTTTTATATAACTCAGAATGGCAAACAAGCTGACGGCCCACCCGATGGAAAGTGGTAACCTACGCCTATAGACATGAGCAGTACCATAGACATAACAGAGTATACTGTTTCGCCCATGCGTTGCCATTCCTGAGGACTCAGGTGTTATTCCTCTGTACCCAGTAAATTCACGCCATATCCCTTCAAACCGAAACACAGCCATGCAAACACAACTGCTTCATGATTGAAACACGAATAGGGCAGAGGTACCCAAGCAATCGACTTTTACACTTTTTATTCCGCTGACTTTGTACGAACTTGCTTCGTGTTTAAAAATCGATAAGAAAATTAATAAAATTTATTAAAAGTGTACTTGCAATTGTTAGCAAATTTCAAATTACTTTCGTAATTAGTCGCTTAAAAGTTTTTATAACAATACCATTTGTTCACTGTGGGAAGAAATATTTTTTAAAAAATTTCATCGAAAACTGTAGGCTGGTAATTTTCATAAAATCTCCTAGGTTATTAACGTCTGCGCTTTAAAGTTTATCTTTTAAGCTAGAATTTGATGTTTCCTAAATTTATTTCATAAATTCCATATAAACTTGGAAACGGCAAAATTTGGAAAGTTTGTAACAATTTATAAAATATCCTTTCTTCGCTAACTCGATTTGTTACTTTATTTTTGTTCTGACAATTTTAAATTGCCCCATTGCCTTTTCACTCCTTGTCATTAGGGTTCTGTATCAAAAAAAAAGGTACAAAGGAACCCTTAGGGTGCGACTGTCCATTCATCGATCTATCCGTTTATCCGTTTGTCACAGCGTTATATTTCACCAACTACTTATGCTATCAATCTGAAATTTTAAATTTACATATTATTAGCCTGCATATATATATTGCAATAGAAATTATTGGAAAAATATGTTTATTTTTTTGTTAGGAAATCCAAAACGGATACTCAAAATTTCAAAATTGTTTTATTAATCCAAGTGGGTATCATATGAAAAAAAATCTTTTAAAATTGATTTTCATTTCTTTTTATGCTATGTAATTTTATAGTCATGATCGAAAATGAGAGATAAATGTGAGATTTTTTTGTAAAATAAAATTAAAAACAAATAAAATATTTTATTATTAATATTGTTTATCTTCTAATTTTCTGAAGCGAAAAATCTAAAAGAATTATAGTTTAATTATAAATTATAGTTTATATTATATAAGAATTATAGTTTAAAAATGTTGTTTCTATGTAGCATCGTTTTTGAGATATTATCATAAATCCTCTAAAAACAAACTTAGTTATGTGTTCCAAATTTTAACTATATAAAACTATGACCCAAAATAAGAAATCACGAATTATATTGTCAATAATAATAATTATTAGAAGTCTATTTAGTACACAATAAAAGAGATTTATCTGATATTTATGTATTTATATACGGAACCCTGAGCGATTGAGTTCGACTCGCACCTGGCCAGTTTTTTTTTTTTATATTTGACTAGCTGACCCAATAGACGTTGTTGTATCAAAATTCCATTGCGTTCGCATAAAAATCTTAGACGGAATATATATTGTTTTAAACACTGACAACATTAAAAAAATGCCAAGTCGATTAAACCCTTTTCCTTTTGTTATCATTTCCAAATTATCTTTTTTTCTACAAATCTTAATCGAATTTTTACGAATATTAAAAAAAGTGCTGAATCAAGCCTTTAGAACCGTTATCAAGTGATGCGCTTGCTATCAAACAGCATTTAATTTCTAATTTATATAGACAAACCACTCTAATTTCTTTTAAAAAAAAATCTTAACTGATACTTTCGTCATAATAAACCTATGTTCTAAATTTCAGCTAAAAAGTTTAGTATTTTTACTATATGTTAACAGTTAGTCACGACAAAAGATTTTACAAAACTTTCAAGTATGAATAAATTTACATCAAGAGATCCCACAAGTTTGAATATGCCCATCTGCAGAACCACATTGCATCAACAAAATTGTAATATAATGACCATTAGAATATATATATTTTTTTTTATACAACTTAGAATGGCAAACAAGCTGACGGCCCACCTGATGGAAAGTGGTAACCGTCGCCTATAGACATGAGCAGTACCATGGACATACCATATACTGTTTCGCCCATGATATCCCCCATGCATTGCCATTCCTGAGAACTCAGGTGTTATTCCTCTGTACCCAGTAAATTCACGCCATATCCCACCCTTCAAACCGAAACACAGTCATGCAAACAACTGCTTCACGGTTGAAACACGAATGGGACAGAGGTGCCCAAGCAATCGACTTTCGTACAAAGTCTCTCTCTGGTTAATAATATAATAAAATATCAAAATCAATAAGGGAACTGCCAGTAAGTCACTTTAAACTACGATTAAAAAAATGGTTACTGGAATAAAATTTTTATTCAATAAATTACTTTTTAAAATAATGAAATGTATGTATGTAAATGTATAAATTCATTGTATTGTATACCATTTATTATATTTAGGACTTGTTATGTATTTGTTCAGTTCCGGTAACATTAGTATGTGTGTGACTGACAATATTTATGTACCGACTCCTATTAGACTATTATTAAGCCACTAAAAAGAAACTAGCATGTCTTCTTTTCATTTAAGAGTTTCCTCTTGTCAGTGCAACTAATTCATGCATCTTCTTCCAGCCAGCTCTATCCCAGGCCATATCCTTGATCTCCCTATACGACATGACACCCAGTGTTTCCTTTATCTGTCCCATGTAGTTATTCCTCGGTCTTCCTCTTCCTCTTTTGCCCTCTATTTTTCCTTTTACTATGCTCTTAAAAAATCGTCATGTCGTACAAGGTGGCCCAGCATTTTGCCTCTTCTGTTCTCTAGCATGTGCTGAGACAAAATATGCATGCCTTTAGATACGGCGAAATGTGTAGCTTATTATCATTTAAGAGCATTTATACCATATTTCGAGCAAATTAATTATTATTATTATATTATTTATAAGTTTATGGTAGACCTGATAATAAATAGATGTAACTCTTTATTTTTTCTTCATAAGATTATAATAATATGCTAAATATAGACTTTAGTTAGTTAGTTTGAATAGATTTGATGTTAAATAATTATTATCCAAATAGTCGGACTTTTAATTCGATGCAGTAAACTGACATTTTCAGTGTTGGAGGTTATTGCTGTATTATTTTTTTTTTATTTAGTTATTTTATTTAGTTTATCGTACCTTCAATAATTATATTTATCAAAAATGCATTAAATTTTTGATAAATTACTAATAATTATCACAGTAAGATTTATTATTCTAAGTACCAATTTAAAGCAAATTTCTTATAGAATTATGTCGAAAATTATCATGTATTTAGTTTATGTTGATCCATAAAATAATAATTTCATGGAACTATTAATTTAAAATATTAAGTTAGGAGGTAAATTTAAAAATAGGACGTATTATCCCAGTATCGATCCCATTTTTTTAATCAGATTCATACAAAAACTAAAAAGTTTCTTAGTTCTTATATTTATAGCATCATCAAGTTATGGAATTCTGTGTTTCCTGCCAAATATAACTTGGAATCCCTCAAGAGAGATTTAGGTGACATTTACAACTGTCCATTAGGCCGGCTGATAGCTTGTTTGAGATTCTTAGTTGAATAACAAAAATGTATAAACTTTTAGATTTTCGCATTGTACGGTTTATAGTGTATAAGCAACCGTGGCTAGTGACCTGCTCGAAATATCGAGATAATTCAGGTAAATTGTCATAGTTTACATAAATAATCGCATTAATACCCGTCTCCTGTAAATCATAAAAATAAATTATAATATATTTTTTTTATATCACAAAGATTGCAAACAACTATGGTTATTGTTTTTTGTTGAACTTCTGGTAATAATCATAATAGTCAAGTCTTCGAGTGTTAGCAGCCACACGAATACTAATGAAAACAGAATTAAATGAAATAATTATAAACAAATACCCAGTGATAACAGCAGTGATAATGTTAACAGTGATTTAAAAAAGGAACTGTTGAGTTGCTTGCTAGTTCTTCTCAATACCTAAATAACAACTTTTCGAACCCTGCATTCATAAAAAAGTAATATTAAAAAAAATGCTTGTAAACAAGTCTATTTGAATTTGAATACGAAATTGGCCGTGTGGTCCCGGCTTAGAATAGGCCACCCCTTCCTATTCCGTGGGTGTAAGAGTTTTCCTTAGTCGTAAGAACCGACTAAGTGAGGGCGAGGTATAGGCAGCAACGTTCCTCTTTAAACGTTTCTAAGACCTGACTGCAGTTGCTAATCCGCCTGCCAAGCGTGGCAACTACTGGTAAAATCGCCCAAGGGAGAAGGTTATGTTCAGCAATGAACAGATAATAATCTATATATATAAATGAATGTTATTATGTTGTTCTCAGCACCACAAGTGTGGGTGGTGGACGAGGCAGGTGCGCCCCTCTTGGAGAAATACTACGAGGCTGAATCCACACTGGCACTGGTCTGCAGAGCTCGGCACGTGGAAACGCCGGCTTTGCTGACTTGGCTGCATGAAGGCAGAGCTCTTAATGCTGACACGACTAGAGGAGGCATCAGGTAATATTTTCTTTCAATCATAATAACCGTTTTATTACAAAATAATATAAACTTTTGATAGACAATGTTTAATGTATGTTTGAAAGTTTTACTACATAAGCGTGTCTAACGCCTGTTTATGTCGAAACAAAAGAATGTTAAGAGTTAAAGAAATGTTGTTTATTTATTTATTTAAAGCAAACAGTTATAAGAATACATAATTATACACTTTCATAATTATTTAACAGCCACTAAAGTTTGCACAAATGTATAATGCATGTAAAGGAAACACAAAATTAAACTTTATTAATAATTAACCATTGAAAACTACAGAAACATTGTCAATAATAAAACTCAGATGTTAAAAAAGCTATCCCGTATCACATTATTTGAGAATAACACATATATAAATTATTAAAAAAATTGAAACAAATTGAAATAAAAAAAAGAAAAATTAATAAAATTCTGAAATCTTCTTCTGATTCTTTATTAAATAAAAATATAAAAAAATCAAGCCTCCTGCTTAAGGAGGTTTGCCAGTAGTTGTCATGTTTGGTAAGTGAATTGGTAACCGCAGTTAGGCTTTGGAGATGTTTTAAGAGAGACGCTGCTGTCCATCCCTCGCCTTCCTTTAATCGCTTCTTATGACCCACACGGGAAAGGAAGAGATGGCCTATTCAATGCCGAAATTACACGACAAAGTCTTCCATCCATATAAAAATAAAACATTAACAAAGTTATTGAAAAATATTAAAATCTTTACCATTAACAATGCGTACATAATCGCGTTTAAGTTAACGTACCTGATCCCCTATAAACTCCGCTAACTCTATTTACACGTGTCACAAGTTGAACCATCAAAGTTTGTTTGTTTACGCGTGCGGCTTCCATTGTGTTTAACACAATCACACGCCATAACTTGCGGAATTTTCGTTCAAATATATAGGAAGACGGTGAATAGAATAACGATGTAAATTTTAGTATGTTTATTATATTCCGTGACTTCAAACCAGGACCAGAAGTCAGAGGGACAAAAGACTTTGTACAAAAGTCGTTTGCTTGGGCTCCTCTGTCCTATTCGTGTTTCTACCGTGAAGCACTCGTGTTTGCATGGCTGTGTTTCGGTTTGAAGTGTGGGATATGGTAGTGAATTTACAGGGTTCAGAGGAATAATAGCTGAGTCCTCAGGAATGGCAACGCATGGGAGGTATCATACGCGAAACTGTATACTCTGTTATACCCATGGTACTGCTCATGTTTATAAGCGACGGTAACCACTTTCCATCAGGTGGACCGTCAGCTTGTTTGCCATCCTAAAAAAAAAGTCGCTAAGTTCTGGTTCAAATGTATTTAGGTTGCCTATTGTCTCGAAAGAAGAAGCAATTTCAAACGAAGTAAGGTCCTCAATTCGACGATATCACAAACATAGAATATTTCATCCAGAAAATTATATTAATAACGATTAAGAAAAGTAATATTTACAAAAAAAAAAATAAAGATCCCTATGACAATTATTCTAATGTAACTCAAAATATCAAATATTTGCCTGTTAAAGCTAATATAATACACTAATTGGCCTTTCTATCTATCTACCTGTACGAAACCGGAATCTATCGCTAGCGTTGATTATCTTTTTAATTTTTAAACCGATTTCGGCAATTATTTTCACAATTTTATTGTTAAAAGTTTCATAAGCACACATTCTATTTTAATGTAATAACTACCTGTTTAACTTACGTGTAATTGGATCACTCGCCGCGTCATAGCCGCTCATGAATAAGGATCACGAGTTGATTCCGAAACTAGTCGAGGTTTCTCGATTCATTAAAATACCCACACATGATCACCCACAACACCAACGGCATTGCAGGTGTGCAGCCGGCCTTTTAAAAAGGAATATGCTCTTATCTTGAAGGTTATGATGTACGGTTCGGAAATACTGCTGCTGGAAGTTGATTCCAAGCAGTGGGTGTGCATTCTCAGACAATAAAAAATTACTAATCTGAAAGCAAACTTTTTATAGCTCGATCTAGCGTAAAAATGTATAAGCGTAAATAGAGGGCAGTATGCGTAAGTATAGGGCAACATCATTATTTATTAATACCCAATTCGCATATAGTGAGGTCATAGTGTAAATGTTATAGTTGATAGTCAATTTCAATTTATTGTGAGCCTTTTAGTGAAAGCTTAGAGTTTTAGACTGGATTATTGGATCATGTTTTTATATGATTTTATGGACTGGGGACTCGATCCTTTATTAGGTAGGTCTAATTTATTGAATCCCTTGATCTCTTCAAAATAAACTGTGAGAACATTTTAACAGGTACTTCTATTATAAATGTGAAAATGGATTTGTTTATTTGTTTATTACCTTATAGCGCTTTAAGGGCTTAACACTTTTGGCCACAACAAAATATCAGTTTTTTGCTCTTTTGAGGGCAAAACAATAAACTGAGTAGTGATTATTTTGTGTTACTATGGCACACTCATGAAAGGAAAATGTTGTTACTACTTATATGTATTTTGCTTTTCTTGTATATGTATTCTCTCTTTTACTGTGTATATCTATTTATGTCTGTTGTTATTTGTGTGCTGTAAGTTACACAAATAAATTATATATCTAACTATATATCTATTACTATGAATTTTGGGATACATTTACTATGTGGGATGAAAAAGGGTATAGGCTAATTTTTATCCTGAGCAATATATATATATTCCAGTCATGCGGACGAAGTCGCGTGTGAAAGCTAGTTCTTAATGAAATAGAAATGTAATTGACAACAGATATAGATAGATAATTGATATCATGAAGGTCTATTAAGAAGTCACAACACAAATAGTAAATTATAGACATTTAATCCCTCCTTAATATTTCGAGTATAAACTTCAAAGTGAGTTTGTCTCTCTATTACCCCCTTGTCCCCTTAAGTTATAATACATGACGTCACAATATTTTGGTTCAAACTCAAATTAAAGTTACCCATTCTTTCAGTACAAATATCACCGTCACGTGGGTGGATTTACGGGCACACTACTCGTACACGTGTGAGGGTAGCGCCCTCTGATGTCAGACTAATTATCATATTTAATTACGTATTAATTAAATTATTTAAATTAGGAGCTTCCGTGAAGCGTAGCAGTGTTTGTGTTATAAGTCAATATTAAACAATATCATCATCGTCATACAAATTCATTCAGCCGTTTAAGCGTGAAATAGTACTAAATATAAAAATAAAATATTATTTGACAAAAACACAATGGGTTTTGTACTGAGGTACCTCTAAACCTATTCCTTTACTTAATATTTTAATTTAATAATTTCTTGAAATAACTGTTTTTTGTACGATCAGCTTGTAATTTATAATAATTTTTATTTAAAAGTATTAAAATATAAATTGATATCGATCCTTAGAATAAATATTTCGTTTAAATATCTTTTTTTTTTTTTTTTTTTTTTTTTTTTTTTTTTTTTTTTTTTTTTTTTTAATGGTTGATAATTAAATGGAATGGTGTGCCCTGTCTGCGTTAACGATATACGCGTGTGGGGTACCAGTGAATCATGTTAAGTGAAATTGAAAAGGCAGGTCAGTTAGCCCATCGTGATGAATACATTTGGAATTGAACATGATGGTTTCCAGGGGGGACTACATCACCGAGTGGGGGCAAAAACCTGTACTCCCCCTCAGGGGTGGAAAAGAGGGCCAACTATGACCCCTACCGCTGGACCTTCCCAGAGGGGTGTGCAGGAGGCGATGGAACTTCGATAAATGCACCATCGCATCCTACAAGCAAATCTGAACCACTGCCGCGACGCTCAAAATCTTCTTTTTCAGAGCGTCGCAGAAATGGGAGTGGATTTGGTTGTGGCCGCCGAGCCTCTGTTTATCCCTCTAGGGGATAACTGGTTTGGCGACACTGATGCGCTGGTTGCGGTAGGAAGTGTTGGTAGGAAACCTACCTCCCCGCAGGCCGCGGGTCTCTTCAGTTCGTCCGGCATCGTTGGCGTGAGCTGGGGGGAAATCCTTGTCGTCGGGGTGTACTTCTCTCCCAACAGGAGTTTTGCTGAGTTCGGGCAGTACATAGATGGGTTGGGAGCCCTTATAGGACAATTTTCAACACGTCCTGTGATGGTACTCGGTGACCTCAATGCTGATAAATAAAACCCGTGTGATTATTACTCCGTTTATTGCGCGACTGACTCATACAATATATCAAAGTACCTACATCAATTATAACTATTTTTATACTTAAATACCCAACACCTCCACCCTTAATTCCTAATAATCATTTAATTAACTTTTAAACACAATATTTATGCAATGACATATTCACCCTTCCGTTTATATACTATGAATAAAATATACTATGATTAAAATCTATATTACATAATTATGTTTGATTCCAGATCGTTACATATTCATCCAATCCATAACGGACTGGTAGCCTACGCTCCCTGGCACTCCCCCATTCTGCCGGACTGGCCGCCCGCCCCGCTAGCGGCACCCTCGAGCCCTCCGACCCCTCACTTTCACCCGGGATAGGCAAAGATAGCAATTCTGGACACAGCCATGAATCCTTACGTTCCGTGTTACCGTTAGTTTGTGTGTCTATATCGTGCCTTTTCAATTGATCTATGTGCCTGTGTTTAATGGACTTGTCCTTAGTTTGAATATTATAATCAGTGCTGCCTAATTTTTCTAATATTATACCTTCTCCCCATTTGGTTTTTGTGCCGAACTGTCTATACCATACCCTATCACCCACTTCGAAATACCTCTGTGTCCCCCTAGCCGCCAGTTCCTGTTTGCGTTGTGCTGTTGACACGTGTTTCTCCCTATCAGGTCTTAAACAATCCAAACGCGTTCTAATGGATCTACCTAAAAATAATTGAGCCGGACTGTCACCCGTAGTATTATGTATTGTATTTCTATACATCAAAAGAAATCGATTCAATGCAGTTTCCGGTTCTACCTTTTGTAATATCGCTTTTTTAATCACCTTTTTGCACAATTTAACCGCATTTTCAGCCGCCCCATTAGACGCAGGATGATATGCAGCTGAAAATAGATGTTCTATACCGTTAAATTTACAGAAATGCATAAGTTCCTCGCTCGAAAAAGGCGGTCCGTTATCGCTCACTATCTGCTTAGGAATTCCGTATCTAGAAAATAAATCTCTTAATTTATATATAACTTGTGAAGCTGTAGTAGACTTCATTTTGATCGCTTCTACCCACTTTGAACAAGCATCTACTATCACTAAATACTTAACACCTCCCATTGGCCCTAAAAAATCGAGATGTATTCTAGACCATGGCTTATTCGGCCAGGGCCACGAGCGCGTTTGGTGTGCACGCGGAGCGTCCGCTACTTGGGCGCAAGTGGCGCACGCGGCGCACTGCCGCTCCACTGCCTCGTCCACCCCCGGCCACCACACGTAGCTGCGCGCGACACTCTTCGTTTTTACTATTCCCATATGTGTCTCGTGTAGCTCCTGCAAAACGCTCGTCTGAAGTTTGTACGGCACCACTACCCTATGTCCCCACATGATGCAATCTAACTCGGTATATAATTCATTTCTACGATTGAAAAAAGGTTGTAATTCTTTTATTTCATTATTAGTAGGCCAGCCTTCCCGAATATGTCTAAGCACTCTGCTTAGTAGGGGATCTCTTTTTGTTTCTTTCCTTACATCATTATAATCTAACAGGAAAGCATCTGCTGCGAAGTGTAAATAAGTCTGCTCGGGACTGTCTTCCTCCCTCTCCCCCTCCGCCTTATAAGCAGCTATTAGCCTCGAAAGCGCGTCGGCTGTATTATTTTCAGACGAAACATATTCTATTTTAAAATCGTATGCTGATAATATGAGGGCCCAACGTTGTAATCGACTGGCTGTCATATTGGGAATACCCGAACGTGGGCCAAATATACTAACTAATGGTTTGTGATCGGTCCGCAACACAAACTGCCTACCATACAAATACTGGTGGTATTTCTTTACAGCAAAAACTATAGCTAAAGCCTCCTTATGTATTTGGCTATAGTTGCGTTCTGCAGGCGTGAGAGCGCGCGAAGCATACGCTACGACTCGTTCCGCGCCACTGCCTCCGCCGCCGGGCACGCTCTGCGACAGCACTGCCCCGATACCGTGTGCACTCGCATCGCACGTGACCATCACCGGCAGAGATGCGTCATAGTGAGCGAGCACCTCACTGCTACTTAATAAACATTTAACTCTTTCAAATGCTGATTGATGACATTTTAACCAAACCCACTTTTTTTATTTTTTTTTTAACAACTCATACATTGAACTCAAATAACTGCTTAAATTTTTAATAAACTTTCCATAAAAGTTTATCATTCCTAAGAATGATTTTAATTCTGAGACATTGGCAGGAGCCCTCATTTTTAATATTGGATTAATTTTTTCCGGGTCTGCCCTAACTCCTTCTTTATTTATAATGTAGCCCAAATATTTTATTTCCTTCGAAAAAAAATTACATTTTTGTTTCTTTATTTTAAGTCCATGACTCTTCAATTTTTCTAACACAGCTATCAAACTTTTAATATGCTCTTCTTCTGTTCGCCCTCCTATACAGATGTCATCAAAGAATATCGTAACATGTGGTATGTCTTTTAACAAATTATATATGATTCGTTGGAAAATTCCCGGACTTGAAGCCAAACCATAGACAAGTCGTTTGTATTTGAACAAACCGCGATGTGTATTGATAACAGTGAGGTCGGTGGAGTCCTCAGATAACCGTATTTGTGCATATGCCTGTGACAAATCTAATTTACTAAATATAGTACTTCCACTTAATCTCGCAAATAAGTCCTCGATTTTTGGCACAGGGTACTTATCAACTAATAAGACACGATTTAGTGTAACCTTATAATCGACACATAAACGTAAAGATCCATCAGCTTTATGAACAATTACTAACGGTGTAGCCCAATCAGAGTGGTCGACGGGCTCGATGACGCCGGCGCTCAGCATAGCATCTAGCTCGGCGTCGACCCGCTCTCGTAACGCATACGGCAGCGGTCGCGCCCGGCAGAATACGGGCTGCGCATGCGGCCGCAGGCGCAAAACGGCGCATTCGCCCGTATAACACCCCAACCCATTCTCGAACACTTCAGAATATCTGGAAATAATATTTTTTTTACAATCATTAATATTCAATTTACAATTATCCTGTCTAACATTATTTATACATATTTTAGGAATATCTATATCGAGTTCCGCCAACCACTGTCGGCCCAGTAAACTAGTCGTACCACTATTTATAACATACAAATCTAAAGTTTTATATAACAATCCATATTTTACATTTACTTCGATAAATCCAACAGGTTTTATTCGACTACCATCATAGAATCTTAACATTAAGTTACAAGGCTTTATCGGAATATCAAAAAATAATTCTGTGTACATTTTTTCACTTATGCACGACAAAGCCGATCCCGTGTCGACTTCCATGGTGATGACTCGATTATTAATGCAAACTGTCACGCTTACCGGTTTATATTGTCCTAAAGACATCTGATATACTGCTTCATCACTGTCAGACGCGTTACCGTCAGCTTCCTCCAGATGTTCCATCTGATGACCCGCATCGAAACCCTCACGCACCCAATACGCCCGGGCCTGGCTAGTTTCCTTGCTATCGAGTCGCTTCGCATTGTTTCCGGTGCCATAACCGCGCCCCCGGCTCCGTATCTCCTGATTACGTTGGACGCCCCTTCCGCGCTGGATATTAGCTCCCCGCTGAACGCGATATCGGGGCCCAGCCGTCCACGCCGCATCATCTCCATATAACCCTTGTTCTTTTACTGGACATACTCTCCGTAGATGTCCCTTTTGGTTACAACGGCTACAGACATAGTCTCTGAACTTGCACTGTTTATACGTGTGATGGATGTCACCACACCCCCAACAACTGGACTCGTGAAGTTTATTTCGCGTTGTGATATTGCCCTGCCTTGCAACATACGAGTATGAAACTCCTTCTTCCTTATTCTCGACAACCTGAGCGTCCCGCTCCGCCGCCTCCAAAGACAACGACAATGAAAGTGCTCTTTCAAAATCTATCTTCTCCTCTGCAAACAGCCTTTGTCGGATTCCGTCGCTTAATATTCCACAAATAAATTGATCTCTCATATTTTCATTAAAATTTAAATTAAATTCACAATTGGCCGCCATTTTCTTTAACTGCGCCAAATATTGTGCAACTGACTGACCGTTACTTTGCCTACACTGTCTAAACCTATATCGCTCCGCCAACACCGACGGTTTCGGTTGTAAAAACTTTTGCACTGTGTAGACTAGTTCACTGTATGTTTTCTCACACGGTTTACTCGGACTGCACAAATTCACCATAAGTTCATAGGCCGCGTCACCAACCACCGATATAAGTGTCGGTACTTTCAGTTCATCTTTAACCGTATTTGCCTTGAAATACATGTCCATCCGATCTATATATAACTTCCAATTGCCCTCTTGCACGTCAAACTCACTTAGTTTTCCCACTGACATTGTTTTTTTTTTTTGCTATTTTAATCCTCGTCGCCACTGATAAATAAAACCCGTGTGATTATTACTCCGTTTATTGCGCGACTGACTCATACAATATATCAAAGTACCTACATCAATTATAACTATTTTTATACTTAAATACCCAACAAATGCCAGATCAATGGCGTGGGGCGACCGGGTTACCACTGCTCGCGGCAAGCTCCTGGAGGATTGGGCGATCGCGGCTGGCTTAGTGGTCCTAAATCACGGGTCAGCTGCCACGTGTGTGCGATTTAATGGCGAGTCGATGGTTGACATTTCGCTCGCCAGTTCTACAATCGCACACAGGGTACGGGGCTGGAGAGTAATGGCCGAGGTGGAGACCATGTCTGATCACCGTTACATTCGGTTGGACGTGCTCCCCTCGTCCATGGCCCCGGCCCTCGATCACCGGGGGGTAGGCACGTCCCGACGTTCCCCAAATGGGCATTGAGGCGTCTTGATAGGGACGTCTTGGTGGAGGCTTCCTTAGTTCAGGCTTGGGCATTAGACAGTCGTCCCAGGCCTGTGGAGGTGGAAGGGGAGGCACACCAGTTCACGGAGGTATTGACGCAGATATGTGATGCATCAATGCCTCGAGCCGGTCCCCCTCCTACTCGGCGACAGGTGTACTGGTGGTCGGAGGAGATAGCGGCCCTCAGAGATGAACTGGGGGCCGCTCGACGTCAGTACACGCGGTACCGCCGCAGAAGGATAGGCCGCAACGCCGAGGAGGAAGCTGAGCTGTACAGGGTCTATCGGGAGAAGACGAAAACCCTGCGGCTAGCCATCACCAGCGCCAAGGAGAGGGCCAGGAAGGAGCTTCTCGAAACTCTCGATAAGGATCCATGGGGGCGCCCGTACCGTACGGTAAGGGGCAAAATGCGCCCCTGGGCGCCCCCAGAAGCGGAACGCATCCCGCCCCAGCAGCTGGAAGAGGTACTGGCTGCGCTTTTCCCAGCGCAGCCGGAGTTTACACCCCCTCCCATGTTACCGCGGAGCCATGAGGTTAGCGGTGCTGGAGCTGTAGGGGCCATGAGAGTCTCCCAGGAGGAGTTTGCAGCGGCTGTGGATAGGCTCCGAGCGAAGAACACCGCCCCGGGGCCTGATGGGATACCCGGCCGCGTTCTAGCCTTGGCCCTGGGCGCCCTAGGGGACCGTCTCCGGGACCTGTTCGACAGGTGCCTAGAGACGGGACGATTTCCCGACGAGTGGAAGATGGGTAGAGTGGTCCTCTTACGGAAGGAGGGGCACCCCGCCGGTTCCCTTGCACCCTCGGCATTCCGTCCCATAGTATTGCTGGGGGAGGTTGGCAAGCTGTTTGAAAGAATAATAGCAGGTCGCCTCACCCAACACTTGTCCCAAGTAGGTCCCGGCCTCAGCCCGAGGCAGTTCGGATTTCGTGCGGGTCTGAGCACCATTGATGCCGTCGCTCGTGTTCGGGTTCTCTCGGATGAGGCGACGTCCAGCGGTGGGGTGCTGTTGGCAGTGTCGCTTGACATCAAGAACGCCTTCAACACCCTGCCATTCGCGTGCATTAGGGAGGCACTAAAATATCATCGGGTGCCTCTCTACTTGCGGGACGTAATCGGGACCTACCTAGAGCACAGAATAGTGCACTGCGTGGGACAGAATGGGGCGGTAGCGTCGAGGGAGATGCAGCGTGGTGTCCCACAGGGGTCGGTGCTGGGACCGATCCTGTGGGACATCGGGTATGACTGGAACTTGCGGGGTGCTCTACTTTCCGGCAGCGATGTTGTCTGCTATGCAGACGACACGCTTGTTGTTGCCAAGGGGAGCACTTACAGGGAGGCTGCCCGTCTTGCCACGGCAAGCGTGGCACTCGTCGTCGGTCGTGCGCGTCGCCTTGGGCTCCATGTGGCGCTGGAGAAGTCGGAGGTACTTTGCTTTCACAGACCCCGACGAGCGCCACCAGAGGGAGCCCACATAATGGTCAGTGGCCAGAGATTGGTCGTCAAGCCCCATATGAGGTACTTGGGGCTTGACTTAGACAGTCGCTGGAACTTCCGTAGGCACTTCCAGAGGTTGGCCCCCGCCTTATGGCGGCTGCCGGTGCTCTAAGCCGGCTGCTGCCAAACATAGGAGGGCCAGGAGGGAGCACACGCCGCCTTTACCTTGGGGTGGTGAGGTCCATGGCCTTATATGGGGCCCCGATATGGAACAGGGCCCTGAGTAGGCAAAATGTGGCCTGTTTAAACAGGCCACATAGGGCCATGGCGATCCGCATTATACGCGGATACCGCACTATCTCCACGGAGGCGGCATGTGCGATGGCGGGCTCGCCGCCCTGGGAGTTGGAGGCCAATGCCTGTGCGTCGGTCTACGAGTGGCGTGCGGAGCGGAGGCGTCAGGGTGCCGAGCCTTCCAGCCTGGAAGTTGCGCTGCGGAAGTCCCACGTTCGACGGGTCCTGCAGCGGGAGTGGGAACAGCGGCTGGTCGAGCCATCGGCCGGCCGGAGGACCGTCGAGGCTATCCGTCCACTTCTTAAGAAGTGGATGGATAGGCGGCGAAGGCCGCTGACCTTCAGGATGACACAGATACTGTCCGGGCATGGGTGCTTTGGGCGATATCTGTGTCATATCGCGCGCAGGGAGCCGACGGAGGAGTGCCATGCCTGTGGAGCGGACCAGGACAAGGCGGAGCATACGCTGGAGGAGTGCCCAGTGTATGCCGATGAGCGTCGTGACTAGTCCGCGGTAGTGGGGACCGATCTCTCGCTGCCCGCCGTAGTCCGGCGGATGGTGAGCAGTGAGAGATCGTGGGAAGCAATGCTCGTCTTCTGCGATGCCGTCATGTCGCAGAAGGAGGCGGCGGAAAGGGAGCGGGAGAGTGCCACTCTCGCACCGTCAATCCTCCGCAGACGAGTCAGACGCAGAAGAAGGGGCGTGCCCAGTTCCGCCCCTCCTCCTTCCCCACTGGGGCCGGGGTGATACCTGTGGGAAGGTATTGTCCCAATGGTCCTGGGGGATGTGCTTATATACCGGCGCATCCCCCGAGTGGTAGGGTGAGCACGCCATTCACCCTATCTTGACAGAGGCGACCTGCTCTTACCATCAAGGGGCGGGTCGCTGCCGTCGGAGATGTGGTGAGTGCGAAAGCGAACCCATGTCTCCGACATATGGCACCTCGAGGGTATATCGTCTGGTTTTTGGTGGGTACACCCCCACCTTACGGGGGGACTCCCACAGTACCCATACACCTCCCACAAGGTGTATGGGTCTGCATAAAGCATTTTCCAGACGTTAAAAAAAAAAAAAAAAAGGGGGGGACTACATGGAGGTCGACCTAACAGAGTAGTCCCTATTACTAACAATCCCTTCCTCCCTGTAATATAAAATTGAAACTTTATTTGAGAGATAAGATTAGAGAATGGCGCATTAGAATCGACCTTAATGTTACAATCACAAGGTACAATAAACGTCCATCCACACATTCTAACAAACTTGTACGTTTTATTATTCTTTACGTATTATTATTCTATTATTATTATTATATAAGCCGTTAACCGCCCATTGCTGAATATAGATGTCCCCCATAAGGGGAGTTCCACCAGTTATTACCACGCTTGGCAAGCGGGTTGGTAACCGCAGTTAGACTCTGATGATGTTTTAATAGGGACACTGTTACACAGCCCTCGACTATTAAGTTCCTTTAGTCACAACTTACGACACCCACAGGAAAGAAAGAAGCCTGTTCTGTGCCGAGACCATACGACATTATAATATAATTGTTTAATTGTTTTTGAAAAATGACAGATACGTGTAGTAATGTTACCACACATAAAAAATGCGATAACGTTTGAATATGAATAGTTCAAAATTGTGGTATTTATTTAACTGAAGCTCAATATCAAACCGAACCTTCTTAAGGTTAACCTTATTACTGTGGGGAAGGGTAGTCAGGTCGACTTCCTCGCGGTCACCTTCGACACTGCCGGTTATTTATCGTTATATTCATCACTATGAGACAACTAAAATGACTTCATTTTCATCTTATTTTTTCTGACTATTAGGTTTCCATTAGCTAATAACGGAATTATATTGTCCAATAAAAAAAAAACGCTTTTATTGCTTTTATATATATATATATATATTTTTTACAACACAGGGGGCAAACGAGCATGCGGCTCACCTGATGGTAAGTGACTACCGCCCATGATCACCCACAACACCTACGGCATTGCAGGTGTGCTTTTAAAAAGGAATATACTCTTTTCTTGAAGGTTATGTTGTCGTATATATATATTCCAAAGAGTGGTTGTGCGTGGGAGAAAGTGCCTTGAAAAACGCACGGTGGACATACATACATATATATATACATACATAGTTACTCTTTAAAAAAGATTTTTTATAAATAATCCTTATATTTTAAGGCAATTCTACGAAATGTGTTTTAAGTAGGAATTTACGGATAAGAACAAAGGAGATGCTGTTTGTACCCGCCATTTGATACAGCCTTCATTTTTGTGAAAAAAAAATTCCTTGTGTTTTTAAGAGACTTAAAAAAGATAAAGTATCTGAACTTTTTTTATCGATTCTAATATTTGTTTTTATAATTCTTTTTTCAATCCATCATAATGTAGTACTAGACTATATAGCGAACGAGAGAATATGTAGAAATGTGATGGCAAAAAAAAATATTGTCCATAATATTTCGATGTTGCCCATACCATTTCAACCCATATCTGATACATAGTTATCGTGGAGTCATCGAATCCCTTCATGGCCTACGAGTATATTCAGCAGTGGACAGTTGACGCATGATATGATGATAATGATATGTACCAATCATTATCCGGTATAAGGTTACTATATATACAGACTTTGTACAAAAGTCGATTGCTTGGTTACCTCTGTCCCATTCGTGTATCATCCGTACAGCAGTTGTGTTTGCATGGCTGTGTTTCGAATTTAAGGGTGGGATGTGGCGTGAATTTACTGGGTACAAAGGAATAACACCTGAGTCCTCAGGAATGGCAACGCATGGGGGGTATCATGGGCGAAACAGTATACTCTGTTATGTCCATGGTACTGCTACACGTCTATGTGTATACATGTCTATATGCGACGGTTACCACTTTCCATTAGGTGGGCCGTCAGCTTGTTTGCCATTCTAAGTTGTATAAAAAAACCCATCCTATAAAGAAATATCACTTTCGGTACAATGGTATATTACGAAAGAATCGGAGCATTAGGCATTTAATTACATCGTATAATCTATTGAGTGGCAGACGTGAAGTATTGCGTCTGTGGATTTTCCCTAGAGAACAGCTGAAGAGGTTTCCCGCAGTCAATAATGGGATTATGACTCCCCTGATATAAAAAACATTTGTCAACCATGAAATTTTGGATAATTGTTCAGTAAATTATGTTAATGAAGGTTAAAATGCAGAAGATGTAATAAAGAGAGGGGAAAAAGTAGAAATAGAAGGAATTACCTTTTTATTTTGCATGGATAAAAGAAAAGATATTTGATGTTTGGGTAAAAATCAAATTCACATCTGGCAACCCTAACTATGGTCGTTATATGAGGTGAAATATAAACTATTAGCTATATGTAAAAATAAGAATTTACTCAACTATATAATACATTAGGACAGAAATTTCCTGCTGAAACAAATATTTTGAATTTCTAACTTAATCTGGACTCGCCGAAATAACGCGTGGGAGCAATCTCCCATATTAACAGATTTTATTGTCATTTATCGACTCATGTTTCGTTAAAGAAACTATTTAGTTTTAATATTTCTTAGAATTTTAAAATTTTAAAGTACATTGTGTATTTAAAACTGTCAGTCGTTATTTGTTCACTGGTGAACATAGGCCTCCCCAATAGACTATCAGAAGGATCGGGGCCAGTTTAAAATTGGGAGGGATTTGCCAGTAGTTGCCATGTTACTTATTTTTACACACATTTAGGTTACTGTAGAGTAAACAATGAGTTGATATATTATAAAAAGCGGCTCGTTCGATTTCGTATTTTTTAATTTTCAAAAAGCAATTTCCCTGATGATGTATGGTGGATTTGATTATTTTTCCAATACAAAACTCATTTCCTCCACTCCACCTGTGTCTGACATCAATCCTTACAGTTAACGCTCGCAGATTATATAGACATATCCTTTGTTCATATTAACATCAGAATTATTAATTTTATTCTTGACAGCTTGTCGAAGTGTAGCGACTATGGAATCAATATAAATTTATTAAAAATAAAAAAATGCCCCGATACGAACAAACCTACTTTTAAGTCGTATCGTTTGCCAACTTCCCGCTATTATTAATAAAAGGCATTTTCATCTTTTTGAATTTAGAATTCGAAAACCAACTTAAAATGGTAAATAAGCTGACGGCTCACCTGATTGAAAGTGGTAACCGTCGCCTATAGACATGAGCAGTATCATGGACATAACAGAGTATACTGTTACGCTCATGATACTCCCCATGCGTTGCCATTCAATTTTAACATACATAGCCTCGCAGACTTTTTTGTGGGTAATGATGAGTAGATGCTATAAACACATAGTATATTAATTTATGGATTATATTGGTACCTTGGGTCACATTATGGTAAATTTCGTAGGGATCTCTAGTTTTTTTTTTAAATAATATGTGTATAATTTATTTTTTCGCTGATGATATAGTTTTCTACATGAAAAAAAAAAGACAGTTAAGTAGTTTTTAAGTTTATCGATTACGTACCAATAAACAAACATCCAAAAAATCTTAGAACTTTATAATATCAGTTTATATCACGTCGCTAAAACCTGTTGTCGTTACCATTCCCCAGCCCACAATATCTCAAATTCGATTACGTACATAAAAAATAAAATAAACAACAGTCAATACAAAGGTTTTATAAGAAAAAAAAACCATTAACCACGTAGAAGGCGTAAGTAGTTCATTGTCTCCGATGAAATTAATTAAGAGTTCCAAGACGTAGTTTTCCCGTAAGATTGCATGGACTTTTACCGCTCATTGTCACTACGATGTGTCGCAGTAATTCTCGTCTTCAATGCTGCGGGTGTACGTGTGGCTGGATTGCCCCGATTTCCAACAAAAGCATGATTAAATTTCCATTACGCGCTACATTACTTTACCATTGAATTTGGGTAACAAAGCATTCTTTGTAAAGTGTGCATGTGAATACAGATTGTGTGGTGTATTAGAAGCTTAATTGGTTTTAACAGCGTTCTTGTTTACAAATGTAATCTATTAAAAATTGCTCACACTTACCCTCGTTAAAAACATTTCTGATTAATAAATATTAGAATCGTTTATAATTTTAATATTTATTACTATTTACAGTTCATGTTCATGAACCGGATATATATAACTATATATGAAAAATATTCCATTCTATTCAATTCTATTCGATTTCCATTCAATTCCATTTGATTCCATTGGATTCTATTCGATTCCATTCGATTCAATTCAATTCGATTACATTCGATAACATTCGATTTTAACGATTCCAATCGATATCAACGATTCTATTCTATTTCATTTGATTCCATTCTATTCTATATCGACCCATGTTGTCACACTTGTCACACAAGATAAAAAAATGAAATAAGTAAATTTATATTCTGCAAAAAAAGTCACTTCAAGTGTTTAAATGTAGAACGAGGAGTCATCCTTCATTACCAAATCTGGGTATAGTACAAATAATTATTGCAGTTTTTTGCTCTGAAAAAAAAAAACAAGTTCCATCGTCATGGAATAGTTTCTAGTTTAGTTATTGAACGATAGAATCTCTAATTTACGCCAAGATAACATTGAAATGGCACAGCTCTAAAACTGACGTAACAATAGTCCAGTGGCAATACACAATCTATCAATCCGCAATCAGCCCATGTGATAAATTAAACCCACAGCTTGTACCTGGATGGGAAATGGACCTAATTTATGAGTCCAAAAGGCTGTATCTCGGGGTTTAATATACGGCTCATACGATTTTAATGTATCCAATTAGACGTGTGATAAATCTTTGATTAAATTTTTAAATATTACTAAATTTTATATTACAAATTTATATTAATTTTTATAAATAGACGTTATATTAGAATCGATTTTTAATTAAATGCAAATATTCATTATCATTTTTGAACATAAGCCTCTCCTATAGACTACCATAGGAGACGGTCCCAAGCCAGAACACTGGATGCCATTTCTTCCTGGTATTTGCCATTGGGTTTTTTTTAATAGGTTAAAGTAGAATGATGGCTCCACCTGTACTATCGATGGCACCAGTGAGGATTAACAAGTGAGAATAGAGCAGGTCAGTTGGCCCATCAGAATGAATTCGTCAAAAATTATTCACGATGGTTTTCAGGGGGAACTGCGTGAAGGTTGACTTATTAGGGGCTATTGCTAGTAAGAAGCGACTAAGGGAACTTAAAGGTCAAAGGATGGGCAGCAGCGTCCCTCTTAAAACATCACCAAAACCTAACTGCGGTTGCTAACACGCTTGGCAGGCGTGCCACCTACTTGTAAAACTCCCTTCTGGGAGAGACCCATGTTTAGCAGTGGCTCATTTTTGCGTCTTATATTTTTGTACTCATTATGTGTTATATATTTGAAATTTCTCATCCACAAATTGAAAGTACCTGGCCTTATAGCACTATAAACCATATACACCATAAACATAAACCATAAACGCCATAACCATAAACGTTCGCGATAAAGGTATACTCTATGGTAATGCATCCAAACCACTTTAAGCTTTTTCGCTATATTAGTTAATTTATTTTACACTACCTGGTATGACAAAATATCAGACAATTGCCCTAATGTAAAACGATAACCATAGACTATAAATCATTCAATAAAAAAAATAAGACTTCAAAAAGCAATATCAATCGACAAGAATGAACTTACCTCAAAAATCGATCTCAACCAAAGAATCACTGGATGAAAAAATAAAAATAATATTTATTTAAGTAAACTTATTACATATCAATTACAATTATTTTGTTTAATTCCGCTACCAATAGTGTGTGTGCGACTGCCAACACTTTAAAATTGACTACTATTATTATAATACTAATACTTTAATTAATTATTAAATTCATTATTTGATTTATTTGCTTGAAGATGCCTCGTTATCAATGTCGCAAAACGTGCGAGGATCGAACAGCGGTTAAAGATTGGCAGCTAATAGGGCGGTTTTTTAACTTATGCTAATGATAATAGTACCGGTTATTTGATTAGAATTATTTTGTTTAATTCCGCTTATATTAGTATGTGTGTGAGTGCCAACACTTGAAGATTGACTACCACTATTACTACAGACTTCCATTTTGTCCACGCACGTTTTGCGACACGTATTTCACCTCTGAACGAGGCATCTTCAGGCAAATTAATCAATTTAATGTTTAATTAATCAATTTTCGCTAGATAACATCCAGTCCAGGTAAATAAGTAAACTTAATTATTTTTAAATAATCATAAGGTAAATCTCGGTTACAATTTTATTTTAAAACCATCCTCTCATTTATCATTCAAAGTATCATAAAAGAGTATTACTTTTCATGATTCTACCGCACAATTCCGACTGCAATTTCACTTGAGAGAACTAATTGGAGTATTTTTATTTTGCAGCGTCAAAACAGAACAAGTGGCTGGCGGCGCTGATAGTCTCCTCCGGCTGGCGCGTGTGAACACAAGTGATTCAGGGAATTACACGTGTGCCGTACGCGGCGCTAGGTCGCATACTGTCTCCGTGCACGTGCTCAACGGTACGAAAATTTAATTAATTCAATTCCCCAACAAAGTTACGCAGTTAACCTTTTTGAACGCATTAATGCTCACGGAATTACGTGATTTCTTCGAAGCCATACCTGTTAACGGAATCCTCTACCATAAAATTGTGTTTCTGCTACAACGGCCCCCATTTATTTTATATCCACATGACATATTTACCATCGTGTTATTAGTAAAGTTTTGCCTGTCAGTAAATTAAGACTCAGGTTCTGAATCAGTAAATAACTACTACATTAAGAGAGAAAATAATGGCAGTAAACGAATATAAATAAAAGAAAACATAAACAAAGTACTAAGAGGAAACGGAAAGATAGGGCAAGTGATATTTATTCCGGAATATATTATAATATTATTATAATGTAGTATTAAAGTTGTATTAAAAAAGTTCGTAATATGATTACAAATGAGTTGAAAGATGAAGTATAAGAATAGAAAATACAGATCATATAAATGTAATGAATTGTAAGCACGAATTATATAACGACATCTAGTAAAATGTCGTTATATTGTAAGAAAATATATTATTTCATTTAAATATAATTTACATTCGAATTTATTACTAATATTGTATGAAATAATTCGATTATCAAAGCTATCTCTCCAATTGTTACTTGCTGCGTCCAATAGGGTCCATAATGCTCATCTTCATTACCATTATACTAGCCTTTAGCTGTCCACTGCTGAACATAAGCCTCCCACTTGAGGGTTTTGCCAGTAGTGTCCACGCTTGGCAGGTGGATTGTAACCGCAGTTAGGCGGGGGGAAAGGGATTGTTAGTAATGGAGACTGAGAACCCCATTGCTAGCAATATACCCAACCAGGTCGAGCTCCTCGCGGTTCTCTCTGGAAACTATCATGGTTAATTCCTGATGAATTCATCATGATGGGCTAACTGGCCTGTTTTCATTCTCATCTATCACCCTTCACTGGTGTTCTGCCAGCGTATCCCGTTAGCGCAGGCGGGGTTACCATACCATTTTCACTCATCAAAAAAAAAAACGAAGTTAGGCTTTGGAGATGCTTTAAGAGAGACGCTGCTGGCCATCCCTCGCCCTCCTTAGTCGCCTCTTACGCCACCCACGGGATAGGAAGGGGTGGCGTATTCTATGCTGGGACCTACATGGCTTACTGTAATATATTATGTTAGCAAACATATATTACAATATAAATATTACTATATACAACAAGTTAATAACAAATTTAGCAAAGGCAAACTTATTTCTAAAAGAGATTTCTTCCAGTCAACCTAACACACTCCTAACAATCACGATAATGATAGTGAAAGATAATGTATATAATTGTATGACGACACTTTTGTCTATTCACGATATCGTCGCGAAAAATTAAAGAGCAATTCCATACAAATTGTATACGTTTTACACTTCTGATATATGGTCACTATATAAATATATGTTACTCAATAAAAGCAACTCCAATATTGACACGTACTATGACAAATAACATAAATATATAAATATACATAGTATCTTTAAAAGATACCGACATACACTTGTGCACACAAATATTGTAAGTATTTTAATTTAGATTTCGCGATGCTGTTTTATTTTTACAAAAATTTACACTAAAATATTTCTCTTTCTAAAAATCCTTTATTTACGTTTTTTTTTTTGGAAATCATGATGTGCTTATGTAAAATGATAAAGATAAATAGTCATCATTAGTAAAAAATAATGTCTCATATAAATATATTTTGTTTCACTGTATAATTTTAAATGTTATGTTTTATATACTGTTAATTGTTCCATATATTGTACGCTTATATAGCAGGACATGGAGATACTATTTAACTGATGTATTACCATAATTTGACCTATGATCCACAATAAAGTCATTTGTATTTGTAAAAAATAAAAGCAGTGAATACTTTCTGATCATTGTTTGACTATATATCACCAAGACCTCCCGTCAACACGAATCTCCACTCAATATGTCTTCACCATCAACCGAGCTATCGCTTGATTAAATATCTGAATGACACATGCCACTGTTCACCCTACAACAACCCAACAACTCGAAGACTAATTCAATTTACTTCGTGTTCTTTATTTTTCCCTTCTTTCCATTGTCCGCTAAACGATTTTCATTTTCATGATTTAATAGTGAATGGAAAATGTTCAGTTTATTATAAAAATAAACAAAAAGTTTATGCGTAGTTAAAACGAATAATTAGTTTTATAATTTTAAATTGTCGCATTTAAACATAAACGAGCACTGTAAGCCGTATGGTCCCGGCATAGAATAAGCCACCCCTTCCTTTCCCGTGGGTTTCGTAAGAGGTGGCTAAAAAAACTTAAGTCGAGGGATGAACAGCAGCGTCCCTCTTTAAGCATCACTAAAAACCATACTGCAGTCGCCAAATCGTCTGCTAAACGTGACAACTACTGGCATAACCCCCTTAATGAGAGAAGCTATGTTCAGCAGTGGACAGTTAACGGCTAATAAAACAACTATTTGCGATAGAAAAGAATATAAGCTATTTTTTATCACAGTCAGTAAACATCCCGGTCACGCGAACAAAGTCGCGGGTAAAAGCTAGTTTTTTTTTCATACAACTTAGAATGGCAAACAAGCTAACGGCCCACTTGATGGAAAGTGGTAACCGTCGCCTATAGACATGTGTAGTGCCATGGACATAACAGAGTATAATGTTTCTCCCGTGGTACCCGTTGCTATTCCTGAGGACTAAGATGTTATTCCTCCGTACCCTGTAAATTCGCGCCATATCCCACCCTTCAAACCGAAACACAGCCATGCAAACACAACTGCTTTACGGTTGAATATTTAATATATATCACACTATAATTGACACTACCCTAGCCACTCATACATCTATACCTCTGTACATATGGTTACCGTAATATTGTATTACTTAATCGTTGCTGTGAATATCTGAACTGTGGCAACATAGATTTTATTTATTTTGTATATATTAATTAACCTGACTTTATGGATGGGAAAAGGGATTGTTGGTAATGGGGATTAGTAACCCCATTGCTAGCAATATACCCTGTCAGGTCGACCTCTTTGGTTCTCCCTGGAAATCATCGTGATTGATTTATTGTGTTATATTCGTCACGGTGGGCTTACTGACCTGCTTCATCCTCACCTTTCATCCCTGACTGGTGCCCCGACAGTATACGAGTATACTGATAGCGCAGGCGGGGTTACCATTCCATTGTCATCCATTAAATAAAAACTGGACTTTATGGACACTCATTGTCATACATAGTTTCTTTCATCCTCACCTTTCATCCCTGACTGGTGCCCGCTTTAGCCAATTAAAATCTTTATTGACTGTATTTATAAGAGCAGCATGTAAGTTGTTTTTTTAAGAGCTGTCGATTTTTGTATTAAATAAATAAATATAATATAATCCATTAAACAAAAATCTGACAATTTTATAGACGCTCACTAATTGTCAGCAGTTTTAGAGTATAATCTTTCATATGGTCTCACAATATACATATTGATAGATACATCCACTCTAACGTAATTTAAGTTCAAAGCTTGGCATGAGACGTAAGCTATCTTATGAAAGACTAAATTTTTTTTATATGTTAAAATCTCGTTTATACTATATAAAATTATAAAATCTTTTATTGACATGTTCCGTTTAAAACAGAAGGTAATAAGAGTATTTATAATTGTAATAACAAGACGCATGTGCAGACTGTATAATAATTGTAATGAATTGGACATTTTTGCTTATAATTTTTTTTTTTAAAAGCAAAAGCTGTCGTTTAATATATTTGTATTAAATTATATATAATATAATATAATACGCAGATGACATGAAATATTAATAGATTTGCAGCAATTTGAGGAGATAAAGCAAACAGGCCAATGCAAAGTTCACTAATAGCAGTCACGCTTCGCTAACTGGACTAATAATTGGCCAAGACTAGAGAAATTAATATTTTATCAAATTAACTGAGTTGCGTTAATAATTCGTCCGGAACTCTTTCGTAATTATATTAAAACTTCATCGAGTGAAATGCTCGGCCGGTTTGCTTCGCAATTATGATTACACCTATCCAGTTTGATAAACTTGTAATCTATAATTTTCTATCTATTTATTTTTTATCTATTTTTGTAAAATATCAAAAAGGTAAAGACTTACTTCGACTGTTTTATTAAGTATACGTTTTTTACCAATTAACCGATTTAGATCATTATTTTTTACTATTAATAGAATTTATTACCTTTCTGGTCCCATGACTATTAATCCTATCATTATAATCATCATCATCATCATATCAGATTTAACTATCCACCGCTAAACATAAGTCTCCCCCAAGTAGGGTTTTATTAGTAGTTGACACGCTTGGCAGGCGGATTGGATTGGCAATCGCAGTTAGGCTTTAGAGATGTTTTAAGAGGGAATCTGCAGCCCAGCCCTCGCCCTCCTTTAGTCGTCTTCTACAATACCCACGGGAAAGAAAGGGCCTATTCTATCCCGGGACTACACTGAAATATCATTACAATAATCATTGTTTTTAATAGATCAATTATATATTATATATTTGTCACACTTGTCTCCCATTAGGGTAGGCAGAAATAATAGAACGCTAAATGCTTAGATCCTAAACCTCTTTCGTTTCCTCCACGTTAATCAATCTATTTACACACGCTCGCTAATTACAGGTACTTTTAATTTGGCCCTTCATCAGCACGTCGCCTATTTGGTTGACACAATAACATAAATTATTATATTACATTATTAAATAACAGACAGTAACATATTAATTGCGGAAACTTGACTATAATATATCAGTAACTCCTGAGCTTACAGTTTCACTAAATCTAGAAACTTGATATTTTGCACGGAATTCAAGGGTTTCTAGGTTATGTGAGTAGGAATTATATAATTCTAACATTTCTATCCTCTGTCATAAATAAATAAATATTTCAAAATCAATACTTCAGTTCATTTAATTAAAAAAAAAAAATAAGGAATGAATATGAATTGGGTCATAAAGCTCCTATCGAGTTTAAAATTAGACGGCCATCCCAAATTTACGAGTAAAACGTGGGTAAAGCCGATAAAAAAAAATATAATATAGTACATTTCACTTCGAATTTAATCGCCGGAAAAGTTAGAACATTCATTTTCGAAAATCAATAACTGTAAATTGTACAATTGCACCTAAATCCAGCATAAAACTTCATACGTAAAGTATATTTCATAGATTGTTATTTTTTTTAAATCTGAGTATAGAAGGGCATTGTAGCATAGAGTTATTAATGGGTTCTCCTCAGAATTTTCTTATAAAATGAACTACTAATAAATGTTTATTTAAATTTAATACCATATATACAATAATATTTTAACTGTGAAAACGTGGCAAAAAAAAAAAACCTTTACAATTGTAATAATCAGTAAAGGCATTAGCATTTAAAAATGGAAATAGATATATCAACGAATTGCTTGATGATCAAACCGCTTAGCCATAAAAAGATGAGGCAATTTGAAAAGAGAATTGTCGAGCTGGACAATTTGTTGGTAAAAAGATTGGCCAACGTTTTAGTTACAAATGACTGTATAAAAGTGAGCTTGCCAAGTTTTTTTCCTAAAAACCGCTAAAACTTTTTGGAAAGTTGCCTAAAATAATAATTCATTTTACTGTCTAAATCTGTAAAGTATTGACTTTCAGTGTAAGTTCTGCGTTTCTACTGTGTTACTGTGATTTGCTCATGTAAGGTTTAATTTTAAAATTAACTTTTAACTAGTTATATTCGATTAATTTTTGATTTAAAAGATTAAGAATCAATTTTTGTTTTGTAATCACTCAATTTGTGCTTCTCGAATATTTAGGTACACAATATTAGAATATACGTTATTTAACTTCAATTAATCAATCGTTTATTCGTTTACAATATTACAAATTATGTTTGCATATAATGTGTGTAAATTTTACACTATTAGGCATAATATGAAAATAATGTAACCAGTTAAAATATACATCGTAAATATAATATGAAAATATAAATACATATAAATGTTCTTTTTTAATAACCAAGTTATCAGTTTATTTTTAAATAAGGAATACTTTTAATGTTTTTTTAATTCTGTAGGCAACTAGTCCTATACTTTTATAGCATGATAATGTAGTTAATACTCAACTACTTAAAAAACAAGGACTGTATTTCTTTTAAAGCCTCTTCTTCCTGTACTTTCACGTACCAATCTCCTTTTTTATATACAATTATAGTAGTAATCAAGCATACGCCCCGTCTGATTGTAAACAGGGTTACATTAGCCTATGGATGCCTGTTACATCAGGTATATCATGCTTGCTTTTCCGATTATTAAGAAACCTTAACAAGCCCTACTTCCTTCTGTTTCAATTAACTAACATTATGTAAGAATCGACACTACCATTATATTCACGAAATTGGAAAAGATATCTATGCAACCATCTAGAAATATTAACGCAGTAAATGAATATACATAATATTGTGTAACCACACATAATAGGCTTCTATTTAAAATACCAATAGATATAGAAAAAAATTCAGCTACTTTAAAATCTATGTGTAAATTAAATGAACGTATTTATGAGTATTTATATATAAACGTTATTATATCCAATGTGACAGAGGCCTGTATTTGAGGTAAACCTTGATTCCATGTTGCCCGAATCTTTTATTTTCCATTTGGATAGAAATTTTTATTTCAATTATTTTTTTTTTATTTTAAGTGTATTTTTCTTATATGTAGTACTTTACGTTATATAGTCAACATTCTAGTCACTGACGTAATATTCTCAAACTAACGTCTTTTTTTACCTTAATGTATGTAAAATACATTTTATCACTGAAAATCTAGATTGATTGACTTCAGAAATAATTAAGCTTGTGTGAAAAAACATCGTCTTCAATTATCTCAAAATTAGTTATTCTGATGTAAAAACTAAATTACTGAACCGTTTCTGATAAAAATCTGTATCATCTGATCAATCTGTAAGTATATCCTTTTAGATAAAAATAAATAATTTGTCAAATCGATGTATAACTGACGAAGTTATGAGGTAACAAACATAAAAAACACCACCGAATTGAGTAATGACTTTTTTTAGAAGCTGCTTGAAGAAATAAATTTGGGTCAACAATATTACTGTTATACTATACAGAGTCGAACGTCGCTCTGATACTCTTTTTTTTTTCTTTCAATTTAAAGAAAATAGGTCTGAAAACTTTTGGCAGCAGAAAGTTCAGAATCTTCGCACCATCGTATCCATCATATCAGCCATTAAATATCCACTGCTAAACATAAGCCTTTCCCATAAGAGATTTTGCCAGTAGTTGCCACTCTTGGTAGACAGATTAGCAAAAATAGTTAGACTTTTAGAGATGTTTTAAGAGGAACATTACTGCCTATTTCTCAACCATTAAGATCCTTTAGTCGCCTCTTATCTGGCCTGGTCTGTTATATGCGATTATCAGCCTGCGCGTCATTAACGGTAATTTCTTGTATTCAATTTGACAAAACTTTTGTTTTACAAAATATTTCTATTTCTATATATCTCATAAATTTTAATTAATATTTTAATTTTAATAAAAAAGAGCCCGTATTTCTATCTCACTCTTGAAGATTTGACTTTTGAAGCCTTAATAACTCTGAAGTTATAATAAATAGTATAATGAAAAATAGACGATTTATTTCGAATTTCTATCATCATCAATCAAAATAATACGCTCAATCAACTTTAAGTATTTAACCTGCGCGAAATAATACTTAAAAAAAGTTTGTGATATGACCTACTTATGTATCTTCCATTGAAATTATTTTAACCGTTAATTCGTAATTAAATATCAAACACCGTATAAACTTTTACATTTGAAATATTAGCAGCTAAATGCTAACTTGTTATTTTCACTTATTTAATTTTAAGTTATCCAATTTTCTCTGTAACGTAATACAGTGATGAAAATGGTCATTAACTAACCTAATAATTCTGAGAAACTAGAGCCCTGCCATGTTGAATTCGAATAAGCTAGGCGTAATGAGGGTAAATTGAGTGTTACATTCATCACAGTAGCAACTGTTGACAACAAAACTATAATAACTAGGTGTTTTTCAACCGATTTCAGAAAAAAAGGTTCTCAATTGGGCTGTAATTCTTTTTCATGTTTGTCATCTCATAACTGCATCATATATAAATTGATTAGAAAAATTATTTTTAAAAATATACACTTTTAAATTAGTCATGTAGTATTTTTATCAAAATCGGTTCAGTAATTTAGTTTTTAATTAAAAATAACTGGTTATACTATGATTGAAGTAGATTTTTCTTTGTGGAGCAAAGTTTTACGTATTTTCATTATAATTATAATATAATAAGTTTTACATTTTTTTATATAGCTGCTTTATAAAAAAGTAACTACGTAAAAAAGTTTAAAAATAGCCTACAATATATAAAGTAATTAAACCCTTCTGTAACAAAGAAAAACCTTCACCCAACAGTACAATTTAATGATGATCATGATAAATCTTTTGTAAGCTTTTTAGCCTGACCCGTTTTCTATGTAGTATTATTTTTGTCTGTTGAATTCTGTTAACATTCAAATTAATAAGAGATAGGATTTAATCTCTTAACGGATTATGGTATATGTAATACGGGATATAACATAAATAGAAAATAATAGAAATACAGAGTTTACAAGATAAAACAATATTCTCCAAAGAACGTTAGAGGAAATATAAAAATATCAATATTCTAACATTAAATCTATCACGTATCCGTGGGTTTAGTATAAAGGCTGTACTAGATTTCGGTTGGGTTAACCTATCACCATACACATTATATAAAATTTAACAAAACAATAGTTTCTAATTAACTAACCCAGACCCGTTTGTTCCAGAAGAAAGCCTTGCTGAGCTCCACGCCGGGACTAGATCACATCAGCAGCCATCACTTTCAACGGTTACAACGTTATTAATAGTGTTAATTATAACGGAGCGTTCGTCGTTATTAAAAACTGTGATTCTCTTCGCAGCCCTAGCTTGTACGTTGACGGCACAAAGCCTAATTAAGGATAATTTTGTGGTATTGTTACCTACGTGATATGAGAGTTTAGATGTAAATACGAGTTTGATTATAAAAAGATAAATTATAAATAGTTACTGGGAAATAAAATTTCATTGTATATTCAATTGTTTTATTTATTATTCGTTTTAATTGCGGCTTATTTTCATAACACATGTTAAATTATATTTTAGCCTTAGATAATATAGTTTATTCTGTATATATATATATAGTTGCCTGCTAACGACATGCTTTCCCACTGTATTGGGTTAGCTGGAAGAGATTACAGTCAGGGATAAATCCACCCTTGCTCATAATATTTATAAATGTATTATCTATGTAATGTACAAGTGAAATAAAGATTATATATAAAATACATACACAGAAAAGTATCCAGAATAATACAGATATATATTTATTTATTTATTTATTCTTTATTAACTACATTAAAAAAAATTGAGTTCAAAAGATGGATTTATTACTAGTTATCATTGAACCTTTGAAAAAAACAGAAATGTAATTATGCGGTGAAATATATTAAAAATAATTTTGAGTAAATAGTTACAGACGTATTTATATTGACTCACAAATTATATAATATATAAAATGGACAATTAAAATACATTATAATATTTATAATTGAATTTATTTTTTATTTGTATAATGCGTGAATACATTACACAAATATTACTTACATATACAAATATACATACATACACGATAATACATTGCAATATCTATAAAATACTCAGGAATATAAATAAATATATGTATAGTGCAAAGATCGATCCTGCAACAATTTGAAAGTGAATCAATATTTTCAACTGAATGACTACAGTAAGGGATTTATCAAAAATGCTCAAGTCAAAAAAATAACAAAACCTAAAAAATATAATTAAGTGCACCCATATACCTATGCAAACGGAAGGTGAAATTTTTTTATACCTTTGCTTGAGCCTGACCCTTTTAAGTGAATAATGAATCATAAAAACACCATGTATTTTTACGACGGCACAGAAACCACGAAATGTTCTGTTTAATTTTTTTTTCAGGCACATAGAAAACTATGTAAGTACCCGACTATAATGAAGTAACTTTTTAGAGTTTCGTACCTCCAAATGAAAAAAACGGAGTCTTTATAAAATTACTTCGTTGTCCGTTCGTCTGTATGTCAAGACTCTTTTTCTTGAGAACGCGTGCAGGTATCAAGTTGAAATTAAAATCATATACTCAATTCTGCAGTCTGTTAAAACAATGAAAAAATCAAGTTTCAAATCGACGTAATCAAAAGATACGGCGGTTTTTTTTATATCGCATATTTTGACATTCGAAAAGGGAATCAATAGCTATAAGGTACTTTCCGTTGATCTAGAACCATGAAATTTGCCAAGAAGGAATGTCATGTAGTTCAAGTAAAGGAAACAATCCGAAAACCGTAAATTTGTAGTTATTATACAAAAAAAAATTTAAACTCGACTCGCACTTAACCTGCTTTTTTATTATTAGGGAGAAAACTTTGGAGACTAATAATAAGTATGATATCATTTAATATATTCTTATTAGAAAAAGAGGAAGAATGACAAGTAAAGCTAAAATATTAACAGTTTATTACTTATTAAAAATACGCTGACATTATGAATCTCAAGTGGATTATCCAAAGCCAAGCGCGAGCAAACTACTGAATACAAAAAAAACTCAAAGTAATTTTTGCTTTGGATTATTCTTGAAAGATAATGAGATCAAACTGAGAGACATCAGATTGTTGACATTGTAGACACTATTATAGGGTTTTTTTTAGTAACGCTAGGGTTATAAGAAAAAATATATACAACAGCAATTGTAGAATGAGATAGAAAAGCACGCAAGATCTAATCAGATCACAGTATGCCCATAAAAATTTGATCCTCAAAAGCAGAATAAAGGTTAGACAAAATATAGGGAAGGAGGATTCCTACGGGACTCCTAGTGAAGGGGTCAAGGTCGAGAACAAGCACATTAACACAAGAGCTTGTATATACGTTATGCTAACCATATAGATCTTATCACGAGAAAAAACGTTCATAAGATAATGCCAAATAGACACTATGTCTGGGTATAAAGAATTTTCTTTGTCTCAGTATAAAACTCAGCAAACAGGAACTCTCCTAAGAGATTCGATTGTAATTCAGGATACTGTATATGATAAGAGGAAAATATGTATGTATGTCATTCTCGTAAAGTTCATTTTGATCTGAGAGTACATCACTGAATTTCCAAATACGTTTATGTTTCTGCTTTTTTCTAGTTAAAAGACTCTAATTTTTTTTAAATTTCGAAATCAGTTTGCTTCTTGAGTATAATAAAGATTTCAAAGGATGGAGAATTCAAGTATTTTTCAATTCTTCTTATGGGTGTGATAGCAAAAATGAATTTCGAATTTTTTGCAGCTTATACGAAATAATTTATACGAGTATGTATGTATACTTGTACACTGACTAAATGAAAGTTTTATGTCTTTGGAAATAACACGCAATTTACTTTGGTTTCTTTTGTACAAACAACGAAATCATTTGAAAAGTTTCATACCATTCTCGATCTTTTGAGCTCCGGTGTGTTTATAACATTTTTATTTGAACAAATTACATATAAAGGCCAAAACGACAGAATCACTCGTACATATTATTAAAATAATAAAACATTCTTGTCTCCGTACAAAATGATTGATACATCGAATGGAAGAAACAAAAATTGCAATTTATAGACTTTTTGTGTAATATAAAAGAGACGGTTTTTGACAGATAATGGTGAAATATTGTTATAGAATTATTTTAAGAAAATTCTTTTTTGCGACATGATATTCTCTCTTTCTCTCTTTATCTATTTCATTACTGAAAGTCATGTCTTTGAAAGGTGTCTGTGGCCTCTTGCAGGGCAGCTATAATTGATAGTCCCATAACGGCGGTTATTTGGTCCGACCAACGATTACATGACCGTCCGCGTGGTCTCTTTCCCTCTATCTTGCCTACAACTATTAGCTTGTCAAGAATGTCGGACTGCCGACGAGTAATATGACCGAAGTATCCGAGAATCCTCTAATAGCAAACTGTCGAGAGCCTATCTTTTATTCGGAGTTGCGCTAGAATGGATATGTTCGTGCACTTTGCTGTCCAGGGAATTCGCAGTATCCTTCGCCCGCATCACGTCTCGAGAGCATCAATCTTTTTTCGTTCCTTTACTCTTATTGTCCATGACTCGACTCCATACAAAACATCGAGAAAGTGACATGATATTATGAAACCTTATTTTCAACACTTTATAATCCAGTTAAAAAGGATACTGTCCGCCGATTACATTTAGAGTCACATCGTACTATGCAAGCATTTTAATTATAGTAAAAGCTAATCAATCAGTCTTTGAGTAATGGTATGAACGAGCCAAGGCATTTCCAACCCACATTAGTGCGACTGATATGTCCCGGCATGGAGCAAGTATTCAAAACTGTTCTGTAAAGAGCTTTGGTCTTTTGAACTATTATATCTATTTATAGATGCACTGCTAGTAACAGATAAAATTACAAAATAATTTTAACTGTTAACAACAACACGTTTACCAGAGGAAGACTTTGTACAAAAACCAATTGCTTGGGTACCTCAGTCCCATTCGTGTTTCAACCGTGAAGCAGTTGTGTTTGTATGGCTGTGTTTCGGTTTGAAGGGTGGGATATGGCGTGAATTTATTGGGTACAGAGGAATAACACCTGAGTCTTCAGGAATGGCAACGCATGGGGGGTATCATGGGCGAAACAATATACTCTGTTATGTCCATAGTACTGCTCATGTCTATAGGCGAGGGTTACTTTCCATCAGGTGGGCCGTCAGCTTGTTTGCTATTCAAAGTTGCATAAAAAAAAACACGTTATAAGTCAGTGTTGCCAGATTAGGTATTTTTTTCGCATTTTTGGCTAAAAAAAATTCCATTCGTGATATTTTGGTATAACTACATTCATGGGGAAATATTTGAAGAATGTAAAATGGAGTTGAAGAGATTTGAGTATAATTTTTTTATTTTCATACTTGTAAACTGTACAGCGGTGTATTTACATACAATATATCTAATAAAGATAGACAGACATAAACAGAAGAGTTTATTTGTTTACTTTTTATTGCACCACCTAAAGAATAACACAATAAAATATTTGTTTACCCTAATACGAGTTATTGATGGTATTGTAGGTACTCTATTGTCTGTCTAACTGTGGCCTCGGCTAAAAATAAAGCACTGCTAGCTCTGGTTTTAGCATTAGGCTGACTTGTAATCCACAATAGCTCTCGTTTAAATTGTATTTTTTTAAGGGATTTATTTTTTTTTTTCTTTAAGAGTTAAGTTTTAACCAACCCGTGTGTAAAAGTTATTCTATTCTGTTCTCATGAACTTTTGAATGAACCTACTATACCATTTATGACTATTAGTAAATTGATTGCCAATCCGTCTGCCAAGCGTGGTAACTACTGACAAAACTCCCCTTATGGGGAAGGCTTACATCCAGCAGTAGACAGTTTACGGCTGAAATAATAATAATAAATTAAATTGAAGAAGACATATACAGCTGATCAATGTATGTGTTGGCGACAGACCTCCTTTTATATAAGTTTACCTTTTGTAGATTTATATTTTTATATTTTGAATATGTCTTTTGATACTTATTTTGTTGCTTCTTCTTGATTGACATATTGTAATAACAATATGTCAATAAACAATAGTAATATTGTGTACGTCTCAAGGAATTAAACTGGTAAGCCTCTCTCAATATATTATTTTATTATTGTCGCTGCCCTCCTCTTCTACCAGCGCCGTTTTTAGTATGTAACACAATATTTAATACAAAATACTATTTCCTATTATTACAGTTGTAGTATTTCTAATAATACCACATCTGTGCTATCTTGAATAATATATACGCGTTGGAAATAACATGAATGAGGAATACTATCTAACAGGATACGTATATGAACGTGTCCTTTATTATTAGACGTGTGATAAGTGATGTTGTACACAATTCCCAAGTGTATAAGGTTTATTTTATAAAATGTATGCAAATGAGAGTATCATGCTTTAGCTGTCTCGCGGAGGTATGTCACTTTGCAACGGCGCGTGTCTGTGGTAGCGGTCGACATGCGTCGTTAGGTCTTGTTGATACCTACACCCACGCTATCACCGACGCCCAGTTAAAATCTTATTTAGAAATATTATTGTTTCAACCGTTAACTGTCCACTGTTGGACCTAAGCCTTCTCCACAAAGGGAGTTTTTTGAAGATTTGGAAAAATCTTTTTTTTTATCTGAAT